GCATGGCTTGTACCGCTTCCAATCATTTTGATCTGAAAATCCAAATTAAATAGTTGCCTATTTAGTGATGGCATCACTCCTGTGGGTAGCAGTGCTTTATAAAGGTAACCGAGCAGATGGCTGAAAAATATGAACTGATGGATGGTGGGCATGGGGCTAGGGCTGAGCACTGCTCTGGTGCCAGCACTAACATGGAGCTGCCACTTAGCGACACGGGAGGCCCGAAGTGAGTGGGACTGTATGGCTGAGGAAGTCTGTCCTGCTGCTCCTCAGTCACAGGCAGCTGTGTGTGAAGCTCCTGCCAGCACTGCTGCCCCACCAGCAGCACCCAGCTGTGATGTTCCAACTGTATGCTCTCTGGGAGCACAGGAGGGGCAGAGCATTCCATTGCCAACCTCTGGGCTGATACCAACAAGTGAAGCTGTTGCACTCGGCTGCCCCTGAGATGTTCTGGGTTTGGCTGAGGCAGCAGAGGGGGCAGGTATCCTCCTGGCACAGAATCCTGCCTCTTCGGAGCAGCCGGAAGCTCAACCACAACCACAGAGTTGCTGTCACACCTCGCTCATGGGCCAGGCCGGGTCAGTGCATAAACTTGAGACATGACTGCTTCAGCACCTGCCTGCACACCAGGTACCAGCAGCAGCCATCCATCGTGGACAAAGCCATCCAGCTGACCAGGCACAGCTCTCCTGTCACCAGATCCTGTTGAGTGTGCTTGACAAAAGGACTGTTATTGCCTATCACAATAAGGAAATTAAAATTCACAACAGCCTGAATTAGAGCGGTTGGGTTTAGGCAGCAGACCATCAGCACGATGGGGTTTATGTGGCTCAAGCTACCCTTTCCTCACAGGCTGTGTGCTCAAGTTGTTTCTGAACCCACCATTCTGGGCCAAGAACTTTATCCCCCTATAATCCCTCTTGCTTCCTAACAAAAACACTCTCTTGCTGAATTTATTTACAATTTATTTATTTAGCAAGCAGCAACTGAGAAATAGCACTGGGCTGCAAGGAACTGACACCAGGGCCCTGCACTGCTGCAGCTGGAGGATGTGCCTTGCACTGGGATGTGTGTAGGAAAACAGTGCCGCATGGGCAGAGCCCCATTGAGCAAGGGAGCACTCCTGGAGAAGTGATGTTTAATGCCCCTTCAGCCAGGCATTGGGGTTTGAACCCGCTCCGAGGTGCCTGCCCTTCATCCTTGGGTAGCTGCAGCTCGCAGGCAGCGAGCAGTGACACTGACCCAGGTCACACACCTCCATTTACAAGAGGGGAAGGAGTCTGGTTCCCTGCTGTTCACAAATATTTATTTTTGTTTATTGTAATGAACAAGTGCAAATACTTCAGTTTGCTTATGAAAGGCCTGGCAGCCACGGGGAGTAGCTCTGTAGTTGGGCAGCTGTGTTACATAAAGCAGAGCGGGTTCTGGTGAGTGGAAAAAGACATCAGAGCAAAGCGTGTGGTTTGCCAGTAACTGGGCTCCCACAGGTCTCTGCTGCCCGCACCGCTGTGCGGGAAGAGTGGTAGGGAATGGTGGCGAGGGCGCTGCAGTAAACCAGCTTTTTGGCCAGTGACACAATGGTGCTGTAATGATGCTCATCCCCTGGAGCACCTCTCTGGGTGGCAGCAGCGGTTCCACCTGGAGCTGCTTCCCTGTGGATTTCAGAAATACTTTGAATGGATCGAAGCAACAGCAGTGAAGCCCTGGTTCCCGGCAGGCCCTGTTCCCTGGACACCAGCCATCTTTCCAGTAGTTACAGAAACTCACTGCCTCCACTGGCGTTAAAAACAGGGTTTGTATGCATGTGCAAGGGAGTGTTCAAAACACGCATCAGCTGTTGAGGGCTGCAGAGGTTCCTCCCTCTGGCCCTGATGAGGTTTCCCCAGATGTTCCCAGGAGGCACAGGTTTAGGCAGCCCTCACCTGCCAAGTAAGTGGGTTTAGGACATCATCTGGAAGTTTTCCTTTTCACCCCCTGTGCCCCCAGGATGACTTCCAGCAGTCAAACACTGCCCTGCAGAAGGGGCAGGCTTTGAAGCCTCGTGGCTTCAGCTTGATCTGTTCAGGCCAAATCAGTACAGGCCCTAACGAGATGTTTGAGTTGACTTTTCTTGGAAGTTCATTCTACGTCTCTAGGAATCTTTCTGCCTGTCAGTCCAGCCCTCCCGGTGCCAGTCTGAACTAAGCAGCCAATCTCAATGAAATCTGAATGAGGTAGGACCACCACCAAAATGACTGCAACCACAGCTAGCCCACTGGTGGTGTGACAGACAAACAGCTCACCTGGCAAACTGAGCCATTTTTCTTACATTTGAGAGTTGCTAACTTGTTTAAGAAATACATATTTGACTTAGTCTTTCTGTTATTAAAATAAGAAACATTTCAGTTTCTTTTTTATTCCCTTGTAGTTCACGTATTTCTTTAACTTTGGAAGCTGAGACCAAAAGTTTCTGATTGAGACAGGTATGAGGCACATCGGACAAGGCGTGCAGGTAATACAGCTGACCTGATACTTTAAGAATAGACGTAGCAAAGGTTTAACACAGCTACAGCTTTAAAGGTATACTACTCGTACTGCAGGGCATTCGTAATTACTGCATCAGTGGCTGTTAAAGGTCTTCTGTGTCACAGGTTCACTTCAGAGGGAGGTGAGGAATACGGTGCTGGAGGAAATTCAGACATCTCTCAGAGCTGCAGCTGATGCCCTGGAGCTGCTGTGAGTGTGTGCCCGGCCTGGTGGCAGCTTCAAGAACTCATGACTTCAAGAACATGTCTACTCCCTTTGGGATCATGGACTGGAATGAGCTTAAAGATATTAAAAAGCAGCTCCTGGTATGCAACAAATGCTGGGAACATACTGTAATGGTGGCTGAGATCAGTGTCAAGCTCTAGGAAAGGGGATGTCTAACACAGAGTGGCTGGGGTAGGTTGGAGGTTGTCTAAATACTCAACCAGCCAAAGCTTATAGCCTGCCTCAAGACTGAGGAGATCAGGCTTAATCACACACAGAAAATGAAAACCTATTTGTTTTGTTAGGGCCAAGTTTAAGCTCTCCAGGAAATCCTGCCCTCCTGTTACTGAAGACAGACACGCTCCTGATCAGCTCTTTGCTGTAGGAGATGGGTGACTTCACAGCAAAGTGCTGGTTTTTTGAATCAGAGGATTCCTGTTAATCTCCTGCTGACCACATGCGAGACACGTGGGTACAGAGCCCTGCTTGCAGCAACAGCTCCCTCCTACCAGCACTGCCACAGTTCTTCATTTAGGACTTCTTACCAAGGGGTAATTTTAGCTTCCTGATCTGTTCATCTCCATCATTTCCACCTCAAACCCAGTTAACCTCTGGTTCAGCTGACAATCAAGTGGAAGGTATTACAGGAAAAGGTATCCTCCTGGACTACTGGGCTACTTTTCCCTGAATTACTTTTTCTAGTTTAATTGCTAGGGACTGACCAAAGCTTTACTGTGATACTGTACACCCATCTATGACAGCACATTTCTTTTTCTTCATGGATAAAAGATTTATCAAGAATACTCTATTTAAAATCTTTGTATTTCTAATAATGTCTGTCTTGTCTCCTAGATGTGCTAAATTCCTTCTTGATTTACTGCTACAACTATTCTGATGTTTGTCTTTAGCATCAAAAGGAACTGTACATATGAAATACCAACTTCAGCAGTCAGGGCTGCTTCTCAGAAGATATCTGGAGTTTTTAATACTTGGGGGTTTGGGTGGCATGAAAAAATACTTAATTTCATCATGAGCTTTTCTGATGTGGTGGCTTTTGCCACTGGCTCTTACTCAACTACAGTTTCCAAGCAACTAAAACTGTTAGGACTACATAGCTGGGTTTTATGCTTTCTTTTAGGCAAAGTAACTTTTTCCTAATCCATGTATTATTAATACAATCCTCCAACTTATTACTTACTGTTATTAAAACCACTCTGAATTCTACTAAATGAAAATGGATTAAGTTTTCTAAACCATGTCAGTAAGCTGCACACATGAATGTTCTCTGAACATACTAAACTGCAGACTGCAATCGCTAACACAGAAATTAGTGAAGGTACCTTCCACCATGACTGAAACTGGCTCTTTGCTGGTTAAGTACAATGGGTCACACAGAGACAGGTGAGTGACTCATCTCTCCTGAACATGAGAACCTCATAAAAAGAGGGCATTTAAAAAGAAAAATCCTAAGTTGTTTTAGGAATTGCCTTAGAGTGCCTTGTTCTCGGCACTCTACTTCTGCCATACTCCACATGTCAGGATTACAAGCCTTAAGAGTATAGAACCAGGAAAGAGATTCCAGAATTACACTTTTCAAGAAAAAAAAACCTTTATTTTTTTTAGTTAATCTACACCTGAGCAATATTTTCATTAGAACAACATTCTTGCTGCTATCTCTGCAGTGCCAGTGAGTTTGACATTTGTATCACATGTGCAAAGAAGGCATTGGGATATTTTAAAAGCTTTATCTTTAAAAAAGGAGCTTTGTCAGAATCCAATATAAAACATGAAAGTACTGCCTGAAATAAAAAAAAAGTCATACTGGTCCACAGAATGGTTTTACTTTTGGCTTTATCAATGTCCGTAAACAGAAATAGCTGGTGTCTGACATAATCTGATTAAGGAACTCAGAGTTAAGTACTTTTATTGCTAAGCGCAGCCGCTTGTTCTGTGTGTAACTGCCACCTCAAAGGCCACATGAACCAGTGGTCCTTCCACACACAGAGAAAAAGCAGAATTCTCTGTGCACTGAAAACTACTTGCTTGCCAAAATCCATACCCATTTGATAACTATTTAATAATTAATTATTGTGATTTAAAGTGTTCCATGACAAGCTATTGCTAACTGACCCGTTTAGTTTGAAGACACTTCTTTATCACAAGAACATACAACTCACAAAATGATATAACAAGTGATGACTAACAGTGCTCTCTGTCGTACCATCAAGATATTTCACATTATATATATGAAAATATATTTTACATTAGGTATATAATTAAACCAGTCTAAATAAAATCAGTATGCTAAACTACATGAACTCTGCTACTGAACACAACGATACGTATTAAATTCTGGAGATTAAAAATGTATACAACTACAAGAAAAAAAAAAAGACCAGCGAATTTTAAATGTGCATATGCTGTCAAAACGAAACAGATTTCAAACAGCCTGGGTAAAGACCCACTGCAACCCATGCAAGTCTTCAGAGTTCAAACATCCATCTTCTAAACATCAACTATATGCATGCAACCAATACATTTTAAGTTCTTAAAGTTCATAAACCTTTTTAAGGCTCTCAAGATCTTCTGAAGAGTACTGATTATTCTGGTTTTCTGGAAGTAAATTGAACAGCTGTTGAACCTGTTCCTTCTCATTTTTGCTAAGAAGGGCCAGCACCACCTGAAAAAGCAGATTATTTTATAATTAGCATAGGTTGATTGAAAATCATAGTATCTGACAGAGCCAAAATCTGTGTACTGTTTCCTTTTAAGATATGAAAATTTCCTTTAGGTTTCCATGCAACTGAAGCACACATTCAGTCCAGGTTCTTACCTTAAATCTTTCTGCTTTGCTCAAGTAGAAAAGGTGCTGATATACAAGACCAGGATCTTTTCCAACTACATAATATTCCAGTGACTGGATGAAAAACAGAAAGATTTCTCCTTCAAGTTTGTTACTTAGCAGCACTGGCAATTTTTTGGGATCAGTAATTGTTAAAAGATCTGCACAAGCAGCTTTATCATTATTGCTGTTCACTGCATTTATAATCTGACCGAAGTCATAAGCATTAGTTGGTTCAGAAATAGGCAGTTTCTCAGAGGTCTTCAGTGACACACTCTCCTGAACTGCTTCTTTAGAAGTAATGCCATCAGTCACATCTGATGTAGCAAACAGTCCCTCTTCCTCTTCATCAGATCCAGTCACCTTCACAAACAAAATGGCAACAAATCATTTTAACGTGCACATACAGACAACCTGAAGCTTCATAAACTATATGCATATAATCCATCAATGTCACCACATTAAAGTCAGCATTTTACTCTTCATAAAAGAAAGGCACCCATGCTCTTTTATGTTCTACTTCCCCCCAGAATAGTACCTCTCTAATTCATCTTTAAAGGTTTGTAGTCAAAAGTGTGTATTTTACATTTCCTTTCACTGCTTGGCATTCCACTGTAGAAAGAGAACTGAAGACCACTGGGAGAAATCTAAGGAGGACTCTACATGCAAGTCAAGTCATCAGACACCAATGTTCCATTTCATCACTGCTGTGCCTTCAGAACAGCACAGCTATATATGGCAGCTACATCAGGTTGCTGGTGAAGCCTCGCTGTGGAAGAGAAAGCTCAGCATGGTCTGACTGCCTGAATACCCACTTAACTTCTCCCAAGTGTGCAGCCTGCAAAGAGGTTCATGAATCGGTCACTAGAAAATTAACCATGGGTCCAACTACATTTTCTAAATTCTATTTCAAGTTACCAGGAGTCATGGAATTTGTATAAACTGACTAAAACTCATTAAACAGGGTCTCTTCAAAGGAGGACAAGTGTTTTAGAAAGTCTAAGGCACTGTATTGCACAGTACAGGGGGGCTAAGTTGGTTTTTTTGGAAAATACTGCACTGGGCTTACAGCCATTTTGTTCTGTTTTTCAACAATCTTTACTATCACAAGAGAAATCTTGATTGTCTCATATATTTATAGCTTGATTAAAATGGAATAATAACGATAAATCCCAATTTCTGACTTTCTTTACTTTGCAGCCTGTTTTCATGGACCTAGCTTATACTACAGCAGATGAGCTAGGGAAAGCTCTCTTAAGAGGGCAGCTATAATTATGACAGCAAACATGAATGATTCCTGCCCCACCCCTGGAAAAATTACCATTGCCAGTAACGTAGTCCCTGAACAATGTGGTCACTTCCCAAACCTCCTGTGAACACTCTCCAGGACCCTTTGTTTGTCACAACTGAGAGCTTAACTAACACTACACTCAGCTTACGCCAGTTACATAAAATCCCATGAACTCGCGACAATGTGAAGTGTTTCAGTAAAACAATTTTTTTCTGTATTAATAACTGAGGTTTCCATTACACCAGCATTTTGAAATTATGTTATCAAATTACAGTATCACCATACAGACTGGGAACTATGTATTTATCTGTTTCAAAATTAAATGGGAAAAAACCCCAAACCCGAAACATTCTTAAAGGACAAGCAAAGCTACAATCCAAAAATATCAGATGACTGAGAAAATCCTTTCGTCGCCTAATTCTATCCAGAACTCTGCAATGCTAACATTTTGATCCAGTACGGAACATTACATCACGTATTTCTTTTACAAGATCCTACAGATGTTTTACCCATACTTTTGCTCTTTAAGGTGGGACTTCATTCTTCAGAAACTTTACTGCTAGCACCAGAACAGCCAGCATGCCTGCTGACAATGAACCTCTGCCAGCACAACCCCAGAGGCTTCCTGAGTAGCACGGAATTTAAGAGCACAACTGCTGTTACATTCTGTAAAACAGGTACTCTAAGTCTAAGCAGTTTTTGTTTACAAGGAGCACACCCTCAAGTTTCGTGGCCTCTAAATGTACTTTCTCCATTCCTGCTATGGTTCTGAACACACTTCAAAGCAGTCCAAGCTTTACTAGGGAATATAATGGACACTCAATACATATGGCAAGAATCCTCCAACATGCCCTCAAGATAACATGAAAAATACAATCCCAACACCCAAAAAAGCTAGAGCTAAGAAGTGCAAACCAAAAGATTCAGTATTATCTTCTCAAATGTGTGGTTTCTATACTGCCTGCTGTTACAAATGAACACACATACCTCTTGTATGGTTATTTTCCTCCTTTGCTTTTCCTGACTGCCAGCTGCAGCACTGCTGTCAACGTTAAGCAGCTGGGTTACCTCCTCTAGTTCCTTTTTTGCTTCGAGAACGTTTGGATCTATTAGAAGTACTCTGTTCAAATCATCAATGCTGGCTTGATAATTCTATAAGCAGAAGGAAAAATACTTTTTTCATATGCACACCACTAGAAAAACAAATGTGAACTACCCATAACTTCCTTTACAATTAAGGAGAATAAAAATACTGGGATCTCAACATTAAGCAGACAAAAATAATCTAAATACAGACAGTGTAATTTCATTATGGTTTCAGGGGAAATTCCCTATATGAGAGAATAGATTATTGAAGATTGCTGCTTTTAAGCACAACTGCTTACAGTGTAACACTGTAAATTTTTGGTAATACTTAAGAAGACTGGGATGACGTTATGAACTCTGAGATGAACAGGTTTAGGAGGGCAAACACAGCCGTAGAGTGTTATTAGGACTCAGACCTGTGTTTAATGTTTTTATTTCAAATATTACCATTAAAAATTATGGGGGTTTAGACTAAATTTTCTGGAGAGACAAAGTTAACAGCATCAATTCTGTGGAAGATTAGAATACCACAGGAAAATCAAGACACCTTGATGGCCGCAGTTAAAAATAAGGATGAAATGTAGCAGCAAATAGTAGAAGACCATGCAGACATTAAAAGATCGATGTCATTTCTTTGTGTGAGGGACCTCATATTTCTTCTGTTGCTAAGCAGTATCATCAAGTTACTATAAGTAATGTATATTAGCATGAAAAAAAATCCTCATGTACCAGCTGAGGTATTTCCTCAGCATCTCAACTGAAATAAAAGCACTAGTATACAAGTCACTCATTTTCTGTTTCCTACACGAACTATTTTGTTCAAAACTGATGACCAGTATTCAAGGTGCAGAGACACTGCAATAAGTCTGTAAGTGAACTGAAGCCTGCTATAGCATGAACTAAGTGAACTAGAATTATTTAGCTTTAGCAAATGAATGCAGGAAGGGGCATACTGCTTCAATCAGGACATAGCTACTAATTAAGCTAAACCATTTGAACTACAGGTATGAGCATTCACAACTACAGAGAAACGAGATTTTGGAACAGTCTTCTGGAAATGATCACAATGGTCAGCAAACAACCAACTCTCCCGGATTTAAAAATACAGCCTGACGGACTTCTCAACAAAAATCATACAAAAAGGCTGTACCCAAAGCAAGAGACTGGACTATAAGCCAGACTATAAGGACACGCAGACCAGGGTCCTCTAAATGTACTATGTTTGTCCTACGTTACAGGCTTGATTCATCACACAAGCATGATTTTTTTCAAGATCTTCTCTTAAATACATCTCAGTCAATCTATTAAAAAAATCTCATTTACTCCATTAAATTCCACTGCAGTCTTTGTGGTTAAGTATCTGGATATTTATACAGGAAAACCAGTTCCCAGCACAGTTCTTTGCCAAGCTACATGCTTTTAGCTCTTAAATTTTTTCATAACGGAATCATTAGTCAACTTCAAATCACTTTTGTTATTTTCTCTGGCTTTCCAAATCACTCACATTCCTGGAATTAGCAACAATGAAGGCATTAAATCCAACCACAACAGAGTATTTTGGGAGTCCCCAGCAGAGACTGTTCTGAAAGAATCCATAAGCAGTGTGTTTCACGTTATGTCTTCAATAATACAAAACCAGCATTTTTTTCCTAGGATATTCAAAAAGCCGTAAATTCTCTAATCCTTAACATTCTTCACTACCGGGTAATTACCTTTATTTTGACTGATAGAATCACTATCTGCCTTTCCTCATATTTATACTAATTTTTTATCAACTTCAACAGCATAAGGTTACAGATGATTAATACTGGGTAGCTTGGTGTAATTATGGAAAAAATTTTATGGAAAAATAAGACTTTTCAACACCTTTGAAAATTAAAGCAAACTTTCAAAATTTCATAGCTACTGCAACAAAGGAACAAATTTATCACAAACAGAAGATCTCATGGCTTCTATGACTTGCATTTGGAACTGTAACATGGGACAAGAATGGCCTATTATAAGGCTAAGCACAATCCTCCTCAGGTGATTCAAGGGCTGAGAGACCATCAGGTAATTATTAAGACATTAAATATAACAGAGGTCTGAGGTAAGTATTCACTTGATAGGCACTGCCAAACCTTGGTGGATGCCTGGAGTGATCACTTCCAGTCATGAAGAGCAGCGTGGGAGAAAGCTGGTGAGATGCTTGTTTAAAAGACACTTGTAAAATTTCATACAAAGTAGATGAGGATAGCTGCCATCATGAGCCAACAGAAGTGAGAAGCTGATAATTCAATACCAGGTAAGTGCTGACAGATAGGGTAAAGACTGCTATCAAAGGATTACGAAGTGCAGGGGCTAATTAACACCACTGAAGAATGGGAACCAACAGGGACAAAAGGAATGAAGTCATTCAAGTGATGGAACACGAGATTTGCAGTCACATTTAGGATGGATATGAGCAATGTAAGCCTGCATTTATGATGATCAAGTAAAAGGATACTCAAAAAACTGTAAGATGAGCACAGTATGGAAACCACCACCAATGTGTAGATGGAAAAGGCTGAATACCAACACTGTCCAGAAAGTGAGAAAGTAGATCACTAACAAAGGTTCTTAATGTGCTTCAGGAAGGGAGAGAAAACTGAGATAATTAAAACCCTGGTTTAATAATGACAAGCACTCAAATATGAGCAGATGCCAAAAGACAGCTTGAGATTTGAGTATGGACAGTGGCAGGCAGACTTGAAGAGAATCCATTTGTCATCAGCAAAGATACAGTGAACACCTTGATAGAAAAAACAGACTGGGATACCCAGAAGAATATTAGAACATTAGAACAGAGCTGAAACTTGCATAACCAATCTCCAGTCAAACCTCATTTATTCCAATGTTCCTGTAATAAAGTCAACAGGTTTTTATGTTGCAAAAATATTTATATAAGATTTTATGTATGCCTAATGCTCTAAAAAGTAATAAAACATCAGCATGGCATACTTCTGTATTTTTGTATTCACCTATTGAGTGCAACTACCTGATTGTCTTTGAAGAGGATAAGCAAGTTTAGAAGTGCTTAAGAATACCTGCCATGTTGTTTTTCCTCACCTGTAATCCTTTGTACGCTAGTGCTCTTCTATAAAAAGCTTTAATATTAGAATCTTCTATCTGAAGAACACAATCACAATCTTGCTTAGCCTCTTCATATTTACACAGTTTCAAGTAACAGAGAGCTCTAACACAGAAAAACAGAATACACTGCAACATAAGTAAATTCTACAGTGCTGTAGTGCCAACAGTATCTGACTCATAAATGCTCATTATAATACTTCTCATAATTCACTCTCAATGTGGTTATTTTTTAAAGCACATAAAACCCAGTAGGTAGTAATGACATCTCTGCATAGAGAAGGTCAATTCCTGCAATAAAAGTCAAAATTCAAGTATGACTAATGCTTGAAATTAGGCAGATATGTAAGTATTTTAAAGGCAGAGCCTATGCTAGTACAATATCATAGTACAGTAGCTGATAGAAGTGTTCTAGATTAAATAAACAATACTTCTTTCTGCACGTAATTATTACTTGGAAGTCTCCTCTTCAAGTAGTAGCCTTATCAAATCCTTCTTAGTTTGTGAAAGCTGGTAAGACTGCAGCATAAAGAATTATGATGCAGAATTAGGTCAAACTTTAAAATAACGCTGTTGTATGGCCATGTTCCTACTTTCATTTTCTCAAAAATGTACATTTTCTCTCAATTATTCCTTTTCATATCTGAGATACTGCTACTGCACGTTAGCTTTTCATTAAAGTCGTATCAGTATTCTCCAAAATGCTGCAAAATGCTACACTTATTGTAACTTTCACTATTGCATACTCTATTTATATAGAGATATATAAAGATACGTGTTAGTGGCATTATTACTTGATCCCCTTGAAGAATAATGTGGTTTAACAAAAAGATCAGTTAGAAACACTCATCAAGTGGGAAAAAAAAATTCCTTTTTTTACAACAGTGACTGAAGGGATGCAAAAATCTGTATTTCCAGTGAGAAAATACAACTACTACCACTAAAAGTGGGTTTATATTTTGCATCTTTACCTGTTAGTGTAGATTGCACATTCCTTGGTATTTAACTTCATGCATTCGTTGTATTTGTTTACAGCTTCTTCATATTTACCCTCTTTTACAAAACCATTCCCTTCAGTTTTTAAAGTCTTGAACTTCTGCTCAGCTTCTTCACCTATATTACAAAAGGATCACAGTGTTACATAAGAAGGTCAGTTCATTAATGGTAGCTGAATAACCTACCCACACTAAAAATAAATGCCTGGCAACTGGAGTATCTATTGGTCTGCACATTGCCATTTCTGTCCCAGATCTCCTGCTCTAAGAAAGGCATGAACTACCATGTCTGTATTTGGCACAACACATATTTCCCCATCTACCAGTGTAACTACCTTGCTGAAAATAACAGGAATGCAACAGACAGCTCTATGCTTTCATCTCCCTCTTTCTACACTTTCTGTGTGCAGAGGGACTGTGTATCTCTACTGGGATACCAGTTTTATTTACAATGGTGGAGATTTAATCAACAAGATTAAAAGCCTTCTAAATCTCCACCATCACACCAAGGTGGCCATGATTTGAGCTAATGTTCTTTCTACAAGCAACTATCTATCACAATTACTATGCTAAACTGACAAACGACAAACAAATCATCACATCAGCAGGGGTTAGTGATTTATCAGTAATATCCTGTTAATAACTATTTATAAAAGATGCTTTGAAGAACCTCAAAACACCTAACTAGGGGTTTTTTATTAATATTATGTTCTTTTGTAACTCTCTTTCCTTCAAAACTCCCCATCATTTCTTACATATGTTTCTGGGTTAGACTACAACTTTTAGCTATGTTTGCAGTGGAAAACCAATCCTGACTGCAGTTTCATGTCTCTGTTGTGAGCAAACAGTAATTAGTAACATAGCTCTAAGTAAATCATAATGGAAAAATCTATTTTTTGTACTTTGCTAAAGAATAACCATCACGTTTTAAATGATGGATATAACCAGTTATTTTTAACCAATAACTGAACTCAGTGAGTTCTTTCATAAAAATATAGCAGTCCTCTATGCCAAAAAACTACATGCGTGGTTGGGTCAAAAATTAACAAGAAACCAGAACTAAATTTTGCAAGAAACACAACTAAATTATAACTCAAGTTGTAAAACAGAAAAAACAACAGACAACTTGCAAAAAACCCCTGTCATGCAACAGAAAGCCTTACTTACTAATTTAATTAAATTCATGAGAAATTTTTAACTACTGACTGATCATTATTGCTGGCATGCTTGTGCCATCAGCACAGGTCCCAGTGATTTAGTACAGGCCGAACTAGGCAACCACAACCTTAGGGTCAGCCTGCAGTGAAGAAAATAAAGTCTTCATTTAGTACTTCTAAACTCAAAGCCTAACCAAAGTCCCACTCTATCTGAAACAGACCGAGGCATGTTTTGCATCAAAATACCGCACTTCATAAACACAGTGATGGCTGGTTTTGTTAACTTTTGTAACAGGCTAAACATGATCACCACTGTTCTCAGGAGTCACTCATGTGTATACCTTTCACTACAAGCATCTTCAAATTCTCTCTTGACAAAATTACACAAGGTTACACAGATCCAAACTTACTACTTGAAAGGTTTAAGAAGGTTGGTTATACACTGAAATAAAAATCCAACAAGTCATATTCTTTAATAGCAGAAAAAGCCTGGAGTACAATCAGTACAACAAAGAGCACTTTTCTAGCTAAGCATTTATGTTTAATAGCAATGACTGTAAGGTATCAGTTTTCTATTTCATTAAAATAATCCAAGTGTTAAACCCAATTGCTGCCTGTTCCTTAAGATCCATGAATCAGTAACAACATATAGTGGCAACTGTAATGAAAATACTTGACATTGGACATCTTAAAAAAAGTAAAGTTTTTATCAGTTTAATTGAGCTTAAATTATACAGCATCATGCCTCACGTTTCTTTAATGAAAAACAATTTTCTGTAGCATTACTGAAGCTTAGTACACACTACTATTCAAATAATTTCTTAACCACATTACTGCAAGTTTCTAGAACTACATCTTATTCCTGAGAAAAACATCCAGTTTTCACAAACATGTAAGTTGCCTGTTGTTTTACATCAGGTACAAATAAATTCAATACTATTTGAAAGATTTTTTTAAAGTAATTAAATCTGTAGTGCCCAAAAGTGCAGATTATTTGAGGACATGCATTACTGCAGTAATGTGTTATGGACAGATAACCCAATCACTGCTACTTATTTAGCCAGCAACCCAGTAGTTAGCATTGCAGCCTCCCCTGCATTAATCAAGGTGAAGATTATCTTCAACACTATTTTTCTTTATATTTAAATAAACTCGAAGGGGAACCTATTAATAGTTGAGTGAAAAATCATAGTTAAGGCCTTTGCAAAAAGAATGCTCCAGGAAGGTTCCTTCACCTGATTTACAGGAAGAGAAAAATAGAAACTGCAATAAAAAAAAAAGTCAAAAGGAAGAACGTATCCTAAAGGAGTTAAGCACACACTGCTTATATACAAACAAATCTAGAACTAACACCTTTGAAAGGTGACTACTGGCCACTGTCATAGCTAGAATCCATTGTAAAAAAGTAAAACTCAGAAGTGTTTTCCTATAGCCCATGTCACAAACAACTATCATCTACAAGTCTACCCTTTCTAGTCTGAAGAACTGAGTAATGCTTTCATGAAGAATTAAATGACAGCTACAGATTATGCAGCTGATTATGTTACCGAGTGATTGTTTGTGTGGTGTTTTTTGGGGTTAAAACTGTATATAACTGTAGTATGATGTCAGGGAAACCACTGATACTTGTGAGAGGACTCAGTATACCGATGATGAGTATTTCTGATGTATTTTATGTAACTTCGGAAATTACATGCTGCAAACTACATCACTTAGTTTAAAAAAAGAAATTAAAATAAAAATTTAAAAGAAATTAAAATAAATCATATCTGTGGCTCCCTGAAGCACATGAAACCAAATCATGTAAATGACAATCACCTAAATTGGTTTATCACAAAGGTCTCTGGTAAATATTTTCTAAAGCAGTTTCTTTGACATTATTAAATCTTATTCCATTTTATAATTAGGATCTTTCTTAGAATCAACTAGGTTGGAAAAGATCTTTAAGGTCATCAAGTCCAAAAAAAAGGAGCAAGCTCCAGCTTCAACTCCTAGTGACAAAAAGTCACTTAATGCGAAGTCCTCTCATCATATCAGACATTAAACTGGTAAGAACAGATACTACACTTGATTTTAGCCAAAAGGCCAAGAAGCCATTTTCCTTTTTTGTATGTATATATATATATATATATACACACACACACACAAAATATATGCATTTGCTATACGTACAATTCATCGACAACCGTTCTCTTTCGCTCTCTGTAGGACATCTTGGCATATTTTCTGAAGTAAAGTTTCCTCCATCCCATTTGTGTAGCTGAGCAGCAACTGGGACAACTGGAATTGGTGGCAGTTTCTCCCTCCAACTGGGACCATCCTGATCTATTAATGCCTTCGTTATTCTGAAAGAGGAAAGTCCCACCAACATGACTTTTCACATAGTTAACTCACACTTCAATGACTTACACCCAAATTAAATAATGCGATGTTCTCATTTTAAAAAAAACAACCAAGCAGTTATCCTGAAGCATAAGTTTAAACGACTGTCACAGCAGTCAGTGGTGGTGCTGCATTCGTTTCAGATTTATACTTTTTCTGCTTTTTAGAGTATTTATGTTAGCATTTAGAAGGTAAGAAGCTGAGTTCAGCAGGATCTGTAAATATTTAAGCAAGTGATTTTGCAACTAAGCTTGAAATGCTGCCTACCACATGCTATAAATAAATCGGAAAAAAAGATTTATTTTGTTTACTTTTCTCACCTGTTCATAGAGGTTATTTGTAACAAGTGTAGATTACAACACCCTCAAAGTGTGATACCTAGATTTGCCAATATCAGATGAAATCTCTTACACAACAGTTTTCTAAATAACTAGTGCAGGTCACAAAGCAGGTATTAAGCTGCATTTTAAATAATAGTCAGATATTTATCAATCAATCATTGTTTATCCCCATTTAAAAATGGGAAATAATAAAATATATTAAAACTATTTACAACACACACGTTTATATATTATACATTATGTATTAGCCATTATACAGTATGCATTACATATAACATATATATTATATATTATTTTCTATATATGTATTATATGTACATGTATATATAGGTCAACTATTTCTGTACATGAGAGGTTCAATTCAAAATCCATTCAAGTGGGAGTTACCCATTGCTGTGATACATTTTGGAATAAGTCCTAAGTCAATATAATGATTAAAGCCATATAAGATTTCATGGCTCCATTACAACTTCTGTGATGTTAAAAAAAAAGAAAACCAAACCAAGAGAAAACCCAAAACATATTCATCAATTATGAGAATGAAAATAACAGTGGGGTAAACATCTTCTAATCTCAAAGTGATCTTAAGAGTCAAGTTCAACTGGGGACAAGTCTAATATCTACTTTAACAAAGAAAAATTCTGAATTGAGTAGCAGGTCAAGTTACATGATACCACAGCAAATAAACCTGAAATCTGTGTATTAGGTGTACTTCTATCTAACACAGGTATAAAAACCACTATATGAATACACATCTCCCCAAAAAAGAACTAACCTAGAATGTGACATGAAGAATGAACTAGAATGAGTATAAAGGATCCAATCCAGTTTTCTTGCTTAGTTTTGGTCTTTTAGAAAGTCCCACAAAGTAAACCAAGAGTTCTACAGTAAAACATGCTGCCACTGTTCAATTTTTCTCTATTTATCATAATGGGCTTAAAAAGTTTGAGGAAAAACCTGATCTAGAATTAGATCAGCAGAAAGAATCCCACAGTATTTGATGATAATCATTATTTCCTTTTGATTGCAAAATAACCAGGTAAAGGGTTTATATTAAAAATTATATTTGTCTTTTACGTGAGATTAAAACTATCAGACTGAACACTCATTCCATTCTAAGATTTCTGGAAAGCCTGCTTAGTTAGGGAAGTACAGAAAGACAAGCCTTAACATGATTTATCAAACCCACCCTCAGACACAAGCAGGATGATGAGTTTTTCCTCTCCTTCAGCATCACCACCCGATTTCCCACCAGAAATTAAAAACAAAGAAATTATTCAATAAAAACAGGTTGTTAAGACCTGACATTCCTAAAATAATGAAAAAAGAAAATAAATTGAACTATGTTTTGGGGTTGTCCCTTTAAGTTAAAAGGCAGTAGAGGAAATAGCATTTTTTGTTAACATTTATTTTTAAAAAAGGTCTCTTTGGAAATAATACTTTGGGAAACAATTTCAGCTTAATTCATAAATATTAAAAAAATAAATTATAGCAAAAGTTCACTTATGCGGGAGGTCTATGCTTTAGAAACTAAGTATCTGCAAGCAAAAATGAATTACCAGCAGAAGAGAAGGAAGAAGCAGCTGAAATAAGGTGATGGGCTGCCAGGGAGGAAAGAGTAATGAGCAGTGAAGCTAAAAGTATAAGGAAGGCCTAGAGAGGAGAAAAGGAAGAGTGTTAGGAGAAATAAAGGGAAATAAGCTTATTACTAAGCAAGTTACAAGTCAAGAAGTATGAAAAGAGTATCTGGAGATAAAATAAGCCAGTAAGATTTAAAAAAAAGAAAGTATAATAATTGCACAGATACAAGGACAAGCAGTTATGCATCCCACCAATCCAAGTGCTCCATTACTGGGACAGATATAGGAGATCAGTAACAATTTGTTGCTATCAAAAATAAGATTTCTAAGAGCAGATGATAAAGTGTCATCATGTCCACCTCTGGTCAAGTAAGCAGAATTTAAAGATATTATCCACTTTTTAATGAAGCCATAATGTAAGTGCTCGTGACTTTGTCTTAAAAAGGTACTAGGTTCCATTGTTAAGACTTGCATGCATGTGGGCTCCTGCTCAACAATTAATGGCTCTTACACTTTCATAAATACTTTTTTTTTTGCCCATTAAAGAAAAAAAGGAAAGAAAAGGGATTGGAAAAACCTATCATTCATGCACTTAAATACTTACTATGGGTTAATAAGACAGTCACTATGGTGTGTATACACCAATTTTACACTATTAAAATATAATTACAGAAATTGAGAAGTCTCTCTTGGCAGCAAAAATTCATGTTGGAAGTATTAACATTTCAGTTTAAGATAATATTCAGTCCTATTTTTTACACCTTTAAGTTTTGCAGCCAAACACTGTATCAAGCTCCCTCAGTGTTTCCATAACTGCAGCATGCTGAAGGATTCACACTTAACATAAATCTCCAGCTGCCACAGGAAGACTGCTAATATGAAAAGGAAACAGAAATGTCAGATAAAAAATATGGACCTTAAAGAACTACTTTATGTGGTATCAAATAAAAGAAAGAAAACATGTTGAAGTGCCAGAAAAAAAAACTTTAAAATATGTTTTTAAAACAGAAAGCGACCTACTGCTGGCAGAGGAAAACTGTGAAGCTACAGGAAAACAAATGAGACAGCCAGCCCTCTAGTTATAACACTATTTGTGAGGATCCTGACTTTGAACTGAGGGTGTGTGTAAAACAAACACTACTGAATTCTACTTTTCTGTTTGGACTGATACGAGATTTGTAAGTGGAGTTACCTATTAGCACTATCATTTGCTGCTTGGATGCTGCTGTCTATTTGTAGGACTGTTTTATAATCTATGTATGCCTGTCGATATCGCTCCATACACTCATTTGCCATTGCTCGTCGTAGAAGAGGCTTAAGGGAAAACGGCTGAAGCTCCAGAGCTCTGGAGGAAAAGAAGAAAAATGCAGGATTGAAACAGAGTAACTGAAATAATATTAGTAATATTCTTTTATGATATACACAAAAACTTTGCTATTTCAGATGGGTCTTACACTAACACAAGCAAGGAAAATGGCACTAAGTGGTTTATATTAATACTCCAAATGACACACATTTCTGAAACTGTTAGTGCTTTTACAACTTACTCTACTCAAATCCCCATCTTCCATCTGGAAAACTGCTTTTAGCAGAGAGAAAAGATTACTGTAATGGTAGCTGTTCAAGAGCAAAAGCTAACTTTCTTAAGTCAAAACCTATCTTTCTTTTCAATGCCAAGACGTATGGGGATTTCAAGTACAGGGTGCTTTTGCCTACATGATTTTCCATCCTTCTTCCTTACATGGAAGCGTGCATGTAAAAAATACATTTAATAAGACATGAATATGCACCTATTTTTGACTTTTTGTTTTGTTTTTGTTTTGCCTGTCTTTTGCCTGTTTACTCTTTTGATTGTGTGCCTAGTCAACATTGAGCTCAACTCCTGACAGTGTGCAATCATAGCGCCTCCCAAATACCATGTGCTTTTACAGCAATATGAAGAAGCAGTCCACAAAGGCCTTATTTATTAAAGACTACCTTCTATAAATCAGTGATTCTTACTACAGAGGAAGAGATATAAATTTTGAAATACTGAAATTAAGATGCATCTAGCCAATTTGATTTTATGGAATCGTAAAGTAATTAAAGCTGAGAGACTCCTAGTCCAACCATCTGCTATAGGTGGGGTCAGCCCTGAGATCAGCCAAGGTTGCTCAGGGCCTTATCCAGTCAGGCCCTGAAAACCTTTAAAGGAATCTCTGCACATCTCTGAGCAACCTGCTGCTATGCCCCACACTGTTCATGGGGAAAAGATCTCTCCTAAAACAAAGTTGGAACCTTGTGGTTTTGCCTGTTGACTCTTGTCCTGCCGCTGCCAGAGTGAGTCAGAATCCATCCTCTAGGTACCCCTCCTCACAGGTACTGTCAGGCTGCTGTTAGGACCTCTAGAAGCCATTCTCTAAGCTGAACAAACCCAGCTCCCTCAGACTCTCCTCTCCAGGCAAGTGCTCCAGAGTTCACAACCACCTCAGTGACACTTCATTGAACTCACTCACTCCAGCTGATCACTGTCTTTCTTGTACTGGTGAAGCTCAAAACCAGCACAGTTAGACAACATCTAATTTAGTTAGATATTGCCTAACAAGGGCTGAGTACAAGGGGATAATCACTTCCCTCAGTCCAGTGGCTGTGCTCCTGTTCATATGAAACCCAGGAGGCTGCTGGCTGCCCTTTCTGTGAACTGGCTTTGCACCATTACTCTTCCTAAAGCTAGAGAAAAAAGATTACTAGAAAAAATATTTCCAATTTCCATTTCATAAATATCACTACTGTTCCATTTGTCTTTATGTTGGATTGCATTTGCAAATTGCTGGATGCATTTGAAAATTACAACAGCACACAACATCATAGCACCTGCAAACCTTTGCAAAAATGCTTGACATTCTGTAACTCAGAAGAGTATTGATGTGATTTCAGGTTCCTAACATCAAGAAAAAAAAAAAACAACTATAAATAAGTTTAGAGGAAGCCACAGCCTGAAGAACAGCATCTGTGGGAATGGGAAAGTACAGTTCCAGAGTAGAATGCAACTATACAGCCAGGGACCAAACCACACTACAGTACTAAATAAATTAACATTAGTGCATAGAAGCTCTATTTCACCTCTGTAGTAAGAATCAAAAGGCACTACAAACCAAGATCCAACAGAGGGGGTTTTATACACTTCTAAGCCCTAAATAGCCAGAACTTAATAAAAGATAAAATGTTCAGTACTTATTTTTATGCCATGAATATAAGGACTACACCACTTTTTACTTTGAAATCAAGTAACCTATTCATAGATCATTCTTTGTGTTGTGCTGCCTAGAGAACATTTAATTGACATTTCCCGGTTCCTGTGTATTTGCAGTTTTGCAGTTCTGCTTCCCAGTCTAAATTACTTCTACCGCTGCTGTGCTCACTAGGCATCATGGCTCCTTGTGTAACTGTAAAATATGCATGACATTAAGGACACTATCATTACGCAGTAAGAAAATAAGCTTCCAACTGGTAAGAATCCAAAACCCCCTGTCCTATTACTGATTTCAACTGAAGTCTTACATACTTCAAACCTCCTGAAAAATGCAATGGCTGTTAAGTATGCCTTGTTTTACCAGCCAGCTGTGCTTGGTCCTTCATCTATTTTAACAAAATATTATTTACAAGTCATTCTTTTTTTTTTTCAGATTACATTTTCAGAAAACTTTTCTGTCAGGCAGAATATATACAGTAAGTCAAATATTTAATTAATACAAAAGTACTTTATTTTTTTTTTATTTTTGGGGGATTTGCAACAGTTGGGTTATGCTGTAAAAAAAATTATTAATTAGTATGATTTCTAACTGCCTTGGGATCCTTTCTTGCATGTTAAGCATCAGTCTTACTAAGCCTAACTATGAAAATATAAAAAAAGACTTCTAGAAATATACTAATAATTTAGTGGAAGGCAGTGTTTCAAAGTTGTTGAAGGTGTCTAATCTTCTCTAAATCTGGTATCCTTAAAAGCCACAATAAGCAGAAAGGATTTTAGCTCAATTCCTGAACAGCTGTAATTACTGTTTATAACTATGACAAGTATGTATTAAATAAAAACCCAAACCAAAACAACAAACCAAACACAGAGAATACACACATGTACACCATGCACATGCTTGTAAGCAATCTCCAACACTGTGATATCCATCTGGCTTAACGAAGTTTCTGCACATAAGTTATTACAGAGCATCACTGAAATAAACCTGCATTTGTCTTAGAAGTTTTAATCCTGATATGCATTTCTGCATACACAAGAAGCCTAACAAACAACTGCACTCACATAAGACAGGAAGTTAAAAGCTACTCTGTCCCTAGGTTCCATGTGATTGTTTACATAACTGACAAAGATCTCCCTTATTTAGAGAGATCAGATTTAGGGAATCAGTCTTTACTGACTGTTCTAAAGTCAAACTACAATAACAATATATCAGTTAAAATGTTTACTCATCATCAGGAATGCTGTCGCCCCACATGGGAGGTTGCAATTTACCTGTTACAATCCTGAATGCAGTCACTGCAGTTCCCTTCTTTGAGGTAACATGCTGCTCTGTTTGAGTACAAGATACTTAAATCATCTGGACTCTGTTCTCCTAGAAGAAGTTACAATTAAAATCAAAGATGGTTACTAAAATGACATTCAAAAATTAAAGACTCACATACTGTGACACTGCAGTGATGTAGTTTGCTGACAATGCAAAGCTGCAAGCAGCTTTCCTTTATCACGTCACTTAGAATATGTAATTATTCAAACACATAAATAAATACAAACAGCTCTGCCCTAGGAAGTTAAAAGTATTGTTTCAGTCATAATCTTCTATTTCGTGTCATGTAAACTGTCCTTCACTGAAATCACGAAGAATTTACTGCTCAGTAACTCTTGCCAAAAATCCAGGGTTAGGCTAGGCTAGTTCATTTGTATTCCCTTTAAATAATCTAGACAACAATCCTAGATTTAAGTATAAGGTATTACACTCACCTAGACCATTGACATACTCAATTGCTTCCGAGTATTTGAACACAGCTTCTCCAAACTGCCCACTCTTAAATAACTCGTTTCCTTCACTTTTTAGTTTTGCTGCAGCAGGAGGAAGTGAAATGGAATTGCCACCACCAGCCGACGGAGACCCTGCTTCAAGCGATCCGGAGACCTCCTCAGCTTCAGGGCTTTCACTTTTTTGATCACTGTGTAAACAGCCATTAACTTCACCTTCACAGTCTGACAACTGCCTCTGCGTATTTTTCTCTGATGTGCCTTTTTTTAATCTGCTCTCAGTGGATTCCTTCTGCTTCTGTGTCTCCCTGTCCTCCGCCTTACTGCCCCCTCCTTTGCTATGAAACTTCCTCAGCGCGTTGCCCATTGCAGCCTCTCCCGCTGCCGCCTCTCCTCCGACTGGCACGCCAATTCCTACAAGGAAGTTAATGAGCTGAGTTAGAGCTTGCATCATCAGGAGAAACTATCGTCCTGGCAAAAGAGGGGTGCACAGCTAAAGACCAAATCCTTCAGGCATCCTAGTGTTATAAAGATTTATTTGCCTTAGAAAACACTTTCAAGAACACAGATAAATTTCCTACTTACAACTAACTTGCAATTATTACTGAGAAGGTATTACTATGAAATGTAATTTCCCCTCACCGGGCACACTATAAACCCCTGTTCTGTGGTGTCAGAATGGTACAGAGTTCACCTTGAAATTAACTCTTTACATACTGGCTATTGCAGTATTGGTACTTCGATTTTCCGTGACCAAATCAAAATGCTTGCATGTTAAAATTAAAACACACTGCTAGGAAACCAGTAATGTTGCACACTTCAAAACTCTCAAATACAACATAAGAGGCATAAAAGCTTATAAATCATTCTCAGAGGTTTCATTTAAACATAGTGTCAAAAAGCCTTTTACAAATAATCCTGATGATTCAACTTTCACTATTCTTTATTACTCGTTTAATTCAGAAAAATCATATAAGTATCAGATATTAACATATATATTCCTTCTTCACCTGAATTCCTACCAGATTGCCACCACAGTATTCAAATACAGATTTCTGCAGAATGCCTGACTAGTGATAGTACCAGTCACACAAAGGCAACTCTGTGTTTGGTATTCTGGGGTGCTGGGATTTCACCTTCCCTTAACTTGATGTGTTCATCTGTCCAACAGCATTTTTTGTGCCTTTGTATATTGCAGTGACACTTCCAATAATTCAAACTAAACTTATGAAGTTGATTTAATATGGATGAATTCCAGGTTGTTCCAAATTACAGGATTATTATTTTTTTAAGGCACAACATGCTACTGAAATCAAACTGAAAAGAATGGCAAAACATAAGAGGTTTAAAAACAATTGATTCTCTTGTGCCTAATAGACAAAAGCTCCAACTGTCCTTCCTAGCTCTGGCCTCTGTCTTGAAATAGCATGTTTAATAATAAGTTCATACTACACAGTGGGAACAATGATAGGATACATCTATTCTACTCACACAGACTCCTTATAAAACTTAAATTATTTCTATTTGAGACATACATCCATCCATGCAGTTAGGCAGTGCCCAATATGCCAAAAAGGTTTAAAGTCCATTTGGTTGAGAGGATGAGGGGAGAAAAGCTAGCTAGGCCAATGAGCGAAGCCAGTGATAGTATCACAGTAATTTCCTTAGGATACATGCTAAAATACTTTTTGCTTTACATCCACGAAACCAGACAATACTCTGTACACCTTCTAGCAAAATAAAGGAAAAAAAACCCCAACATTTTAAATGCCATGGACAAACAGGCAATTTGACAAGATTTTAGAAAAGGCAGTGAAACACTCTAGAAGCACAGCCCAACTTTCTGAGCCACAGAAAAGTCGATAATGTGTGAATAATGACAGGTAATGACGTGAATGTCATTAATATGAACATCACTTTCTGAACACAGCAGAAAATTTCCTGAAAATAAAGTGCAGAGAACTGATCCTGGATGGACAGGAGACATTTATAGCCTTATTATCAGGAGCCCTCCTGATAATACGAGTAGTTATAGTCAACGGGTTTAGCTGTCAGGTTATGCTAACTGCCTAAGTATTTCTGAACTGAGTGAACACCATGCACAAAATTGCTCAGATATATATTTCTCAAATCTCATTCTCACTGTTTTTCACTTTCGCTCTTAATAACATAACCGCTACTCTTGTATTGGTCGCTGCAGAGAAATATATTAATGAAAGCAGTATTCTGGGCTTGTCATAGGAAAAAAAAATAAATAAAAAAAAAGCACTTACAAACTTTGCTTAAAAAAAAAAAAAAAAAACAACCCAAAAAAAAACCCTCTGGATAGATCATAAATTCCAAAGAAAAGTTACTGAAAATTAAAGTATAAAAAGTGAAAAGTGTGGGCAGGATTTTGATTAGAATGACAGCAAATACAAACTAGCAAGAATTTTAATTCATGTTATCATTAAAATAGCAAACTTAAATTGGAAGGAATGTCATTAAACAAAAGCTACTGAATACTCCAAAAGGAATATTTGTTTGGGGTTTTTTAATGGATGACATTGTCTTTCATTTGAAAGTAGTTTCCAACTATACAAAGTTTTTATTCTCCAGAAGCATGGCACAAAAATAATGGTGGCAGAATGAAAAGTATCTAAGTTCAATTCACAGTTAATTCATTTATTATGAAGCCAGGAAACACTTCCAAGTCTTTTATCCACACTGGACTGGCTATATATGAAGACAACTGGAATGGTCCACATTTCCACAGATTAAATTTTAATAATAATTTTTCTTTTTCCTTTTTTTTTTATATGGTCAGCAAATTTTTATGAATTAAAAGGGCTACTTAAAATACATTTATCTTTAAACCGTATTTATCACTGTATGACTTCTATAAACATGTCAAAATATCAGGCGCTTTGTCACATACAAGATCTTTAGTTTTTACAGTGTCTGCTAGTTTTTACAGTCTTAAGACATAAGCAATTTTCCATTTCTATTGTACAGAAAGGATTTACTTTTCCTCTCAGTTACACAGATGAAGAGAGACTACACTCTTTATATATACTGTTTTGTCTGAGAAATCAACTTTTCAGAGCTGAGGAAAACAAAAATATTTTGTTTTCTTCCAATCTCCATGCTATAAGTTTAGTAGGAATGCACAACGCTTACCAACTAGAATGTGAAATCAGTGTGACTACATGACTGGACTACATGGACTACTGGACTGACTGTGACTACATGACTAGATGTATAAAAAAGACAGATAAGACGTTTAGTCTATTTAGTGCTGTTAGGTTCATGGAACATACCAGATTTATTCAATAACTGAACTGAGTTTGTATTTGCTTCTAGTTGTACTTGAAAACAGAGTAATATATGAAGGTGCTTGTCTCCTAAATCTCAGAAATACCTACATGAACACATGCGACATTTACGTCAGTTGACAATCCCCTGTTTAAAAGCCTAACCTTTCATCAACAGAATGGGAGTCTTCCTATGGTGCTAGAAGGCACTTAGTCATCTGAACGCTCCCAATGAAAGCAGCCCCAAATTAACTAGTATTTAAGACTAAGGACATGATCCGTCTTTTCTTCCAGGGTTTTAGCTGAGGTGACTTAGTAGATACCTACTGATTTTGAAAAATATATTTTCCTTAAATTTCTTTGCAAATAAGGCATTATTAACTCACACATGCACAGTTTAATATTTACAATTAACCTGTAAAAGCCACACACTGATTTAATTTCAAGATAAAGAGCTACATCGACAACAGAAAACACAGAAGTCACAGTTGTCAAGCCACATTACCTTAAAGAGCCAACAGAAAGGAGAAAGGGTGGGAATCAACCTAAGGATGTCACTCTGTCGAAGGCCGGAGCCCAGACATGCAGCTGAATCTAAAAACAACCTGCCAGTGCAAGCCTCAGTAGCACCTATTGCTTCCCTTCCTCCTCCAAGTCATATATTCTGATTATACCAGTAGCTTCATCTCAGCAGTCTTGCAGTTATTCACACACTAATCCAGGAACAGGAGCTGCATTCAGCTGCTTGGAAACTATATACAGTACAAGAATTACATATTGTTCACCTCTAATACATACTTTCAGACCAGATGATCTGTTAGGTTAAACAAACAAACAAACAAACAAAGATTGATAGATTTCAAAACAAACAGCAGCAAAATAACCAAATTACATGCCATTTGGTTATTTTTACACCCTCTGATCCAGTTACGGGAAGAAACATGCAGAAGAAAAATGCAATGATGGGAAGGCAGGAGACCTGTGTGAGAGAAAGAGCTAAGGAACACACAATGTTCTCTAATACCCGAGAACATTCCCAACTGGGTCCACACCAAAGGATAGGTATAAAATTATACAGAACTCAGGGAATTAGGTGATTTATAGCAATATTTTCCATCCATCCATTATACCCCTTCTAGAAATAATTCCAAAGATGTGTAATAAAACTTAATTCTAGATTTCACTCAAATTTAAGTAGTGAAGGCAATTTTAGTCTTCAAACAGGCAAAATTCTTTGCAAGCAAATATGGATGAATTGTGTGAATAAAGATAGCAATAACAAAGGCAAAGATTTTTTTCTCAGATTGAAAGTAAACAGAAAGTAACCTGACATTACTTTTATTTCCACTGCTTCTTTCACATTCAACTGTATTTTCACCTCTTTCTTCATCACTTTCTGAATCCTCTATGTCTTGAATAAGTATCCTTTTTCCTTTGCCTTGAGTCTCAGATATAGGCTTTAAACCTTTCAGTTTCTTTTCAACCTCTAGCAGATTTTTCTGCAATATAAAAACACAGAAAAAAAACATGACATTACTTTTCCAAGAGACAGTATCAAAACCAAGATTAACACTCTACTTCTGTCTCTTAGAAACTCGGAAGATATCACACAAATACTTTTCTTGAATGAACTGCTCAAGAGAAAAAAAAAAACCAACCTAAACCAAACAATCAAACAAAACAAAAACACAAACACAACCAACCAAAACCCAGACAGAAAAACAGCAAACTGCATTATAGCAGTATCTGGCATGGTCTACTCAAAAGAGTAAGAAAACAGATTATTTCTAGTGGATTATTTCCAGAATCTCAAAAAAAAACCCCTAAAATCAGTTTATCAAAATTTATGCTATGGTTTCTGGCAGTTAGCAGAAGGACACTGTTGAATAATGAAAAGGTTTGCTCCTCTTGTAAGAACTGCAAATTAGATGACCAAACAGCCTCTCATTCCATAAACATTTTTGATTACTCAAGATAAAATACTCCAACTGCACTTTACACTTCCAGAGCAGAGACCCAACATTATGCACTATTCTGAATTGAATTCAATGCTGTAAAAGGAAATGCCATTTCAGTACCCACTTCCTCAAGGAAAAGGTAAAACAAGGACAGGAACAGGCAATGATTCATGTGAACAAAGTATATTGAAGAATTCCAGTTAGAGACAATCAATTTACCTTTATATTAGTGACTCTGCACATAAACATTAACTCTACATGTCTTCAGTACATTCATATTTATCTGAAGAGGGTTTTGAGGATCCTTCAAGCAAAGACCAACTGACAAAATTCCCTGTCGAGCACTTGTCACTTCTAAATGTCTCAGCCAAGGCATAGTAGCAGGCAGAGATAAGAACAAAGTACAGACATCTGCTTTCAGCTACAGAAGCATTACTCAGCAAAGCTACTAATGAATTTACATCTCTGGAAGAGTACTCAAAATGAAGGAGTACCTTATGCCTGATATTATAACAAGTGTCAGTACAGCCGATTTGACAATCTTTTCACAGACTGTTGTGGAGTTTGTCAACACAGACTCACAAGCTATTTAGTGGTTCAGTCTTGCAGACTGAAAAAAAAAAAATCCCAAAAGCCCTTTCAGAATTCAAATCTAGAGACAGGTGTTTAAAAAGAAAGGAGGGGGAAATCAGGCAGGTTGATTCCTTGGTTGATGTGAAACTGTGGAACAGGACTCTGGACAGGAATTCAGTTCCAAGAATGCTCTAAAAGGGATGAATGCTGTATATAGTGAATTTGACATAATAGGCTTGGACCTCCCTCACTGGTGCAAGCAATAGCAGCGATCATATAATTCCATGGAAAAAAGCAGCAATCAGCAAGTTGATAGCAGGGCAAAATGTGCCAAAAGCAGCTGAACAGAATTCAGGTGATGAGGCAATTGCACAGCATCCAGAAGTCATATGTAAAAAAAAAAAAAAAAAGAAAAAAAGCAAGGGAATGTAGCAGTTTGATGGATTCCTAATTGACAAAGAGACATTTAGTATCAGAACTGCCTGGTCCTGAAGATTCTCAGGACACAGAAGAGCCCAAATGCAAGGCTTAGGTTCTAACCCACAAAACACCCCTAAGAAGCTACCAATGAAAGGACACAAACAATCCTCTCCTAAATAGCTGAAGTAATAGTCGTACAAGGACCACATCCTGACCTTGAGTTTCCAAAGAAAGCTTCTGGCTTTCTTAGATCCAAAATTGGCTAAGGAGGGTCCAGGTTCATCAGAAGGTATGAAAGGTTTTTCATTCTAGCCTGGGGGTGAGAAATGAGGATTTATAACATCATGCTGAACTAAGGACAGAACCCAAGTAATCTCCTTTTAGGTTAACAATAAAAGCTTATCATCTCTTTAGATTTTTCGTGTGAATTATGTGTCAGGTTTAAATATACCTATCCCAGGGATCTTCTTGAGCCAAATGTCCAAGTAACTTTGATCAGCTAAGACACTAATACTGTAATCATGTTCAGCAGCAAAAATTCAGGCACCTAAATTACACTGGTAGAGAAGACTTGAGTGCCTACAAGTTCTCACAATTAAGTAGTAAAGGTACTTCAGTAGGCTGAAGATCTGGTCACATTCAAGTACCTAATTTCCACCACAGGTACCTATGTGATCTTGAGAAACTGACTGCTGTCACAGCAGAGCACGTCCTCAAAACTCATATTCAAATCAAACAATATAAGCTCTACGTACTTCATGCTACAACTGCATACAGCCTGTTGCTAGACATAGTAAACTCACTGGTCTTTACCTTAGCTATAGCATTTTGTGGTTCAACACCTAATACTCTGTTCAGGTCCTCTGTAGCTGCCTGGTAATTCTGCAGCTGACTGTGTACAGTAGCACGACGCATAAGAGCTACAAAGGAACAAAGAGTATTATTTATGTATTTGAATCACAAAGTGGATAAAAATACACTTTTTTTCAAGAGTAAACCAGTTTTTAAAATTCTGCATTTACTTCATAATGACTGTATTAGTGTGTCTGTTCTCTTGATCATTTTTAATGATGCAATTTCACATAATGCCTTTTGAGATGCCAATCATGAACTGTGAAGCATCTTTTTACATTTTTCCAACTCTTCTCCTCCACCCATGCAAATATAGCCATTTCCTTCAGAAAAGATTAAATCAGCAACTTCTATTGTTTTCATGTTGCTTTTAAAGTAATTAAAACTTCAGTGTGGGTATTATGGAAACAGTGCATTGCATGCACAAAAGAGGGCTTAAGTCGTCATATGAAAAACAAGTTAGCCCCATGCTACCACATAAGAATATGCATTACAGATCAACAGAATGAACTGCCTAAAACTTCCCTGACCTCAGAAATACTATTAAAATTACTTTGGGGAGCTCATCTGTTTCCTTATTCATACTTGGACCTGATCTAAAGCTCAGTTAAGTCAATGGACAACATGAATAGACATGTACTATTTTATTTGCTAGAAATAAAGTACCACATAGAAGAGCAAGTTTATGTTCTCCTTTACCTTTTAAGTTGCCAGGTTCCATATCTAGTACCTTCTCACAATCCTGCAAAGCACTGTCCCAGTTCTGAAGTTTGATTTCTGCTTGAGCTTTGTTGTTATATGCAGCTGCAGTGGGTATTACTGATATACTTCTGAAAGAAGGGAATATTGACTATGGTAGGCTCATAGCTAGAAAGCCTGAATGTAGAAATACTTTGCTATTAGAAGCTGAAAACAGTATTATAACAATATTAGTACTGATACTCTAAACTCCTTCCTGTGAGACCAGAGGCAACCATCCACCAACTAGATTTACCATCTTCAGAGGTCTGTTGCTTGCCAGGGCTTAGGTCTGAGAAGCTGCAGAAAGATGCTATGGCTCACCTATCACTTAAACTGTTACCTCTTGCTACCATCCATCTAGTCTTTAATAAAACTGTCAAATGAAACCTTTGAGAGTATCAAGAGTTAACTACAGATCTTTGGAAGTTATAACGGGAGGGCACACGAGCTTCTCCTTGATCTTGCTTGTAAAAGGGAAAGACCCAGGTGTCAGTGGATGAATTTTCCAGGTTTGGCTATGTGGCTGGTATTGCAGGTAGGGCTTTAGTTTCTATAACAACAGGATCATCTCTGATGAACAAGGACAACTGGGATGCATATGACATAGTACAAGAGGATCTTTGCCCACACCCTTGCTAACCTAGCAAGAAGGACTCTTCACCGTGAAGAGGGGACAATAGGGAAGTGTCAGGGTGACAGCATACTGCAAGAGATACAAGGAAAACTTTCTTCACTGTAAGGGTGGTGAGGCACTGGCAAAGGTTGCTGAGAGAAGCTGTGGCTGCCCCATCGTATCCTTCTCTTCCTGTTGTCTGTTCTGTCCATCTTATGCTCTTCTTCTTTTGAAACAAATACAACAGAGATCTTGTAGCAACAACCTCTATTAATATAAAGCCGATGTCTGAATGTAGTGCACTGAGCACTAAATAAGGTAACCTGAAAGAGTCTTAATTCTTTTTAATCCTCTGTCTATATACTTTTTTTCTGGACTGCTGCTAATTACAGACTGTATTATGGTGATGCTGTACACAGTGATTTTTCTTTCTCCTAAGAAGAGGTTATTAATTTTACTTATTACCAACTGAAGCAATCCTACCAATATGGTTTTTTACAATTAATTTGTAATGAATTTAGTTTTTCAGCACACTGCTTATCCTTTTATTTTTGTAAACTTGCCCTTGACTCTCACAGGGTTTGAAAAATCTGAGGAAGTTTGTGAAACCTGCAAATTACATCCCATCACTATTTAACCATTTCTCTTCCTGATAAATAAAAATTACTATCAGGATGCAACAATGCTTTAAGGATTCTTCTGTCAAACCTTTTTGCCCTTTTAAAAAATAATCTAATTGTCACTATTTGTCTCAGTAAGAAGCTGCTTTAATTACATTGCTCTAAAAATAATATTCAGAAGTAATAGCCATTAAAATGAAAGAACACAACAGTATTTACTCACCGAGTATAATATGTCACTGCTTCCACATAATCACCACTGGCAAAGGCTTCATTGCCCTTTTCTTTTTCACGAGTAGCAATAAAAATCTTCTCCTTCTTTGTCATGCCTAGAAAAATAAATATTTATACATAAAAAACTAATAACTGGCACAGATGTAATCAAAACACTATCAGCTAAAATATTCTGAATGCCATAATCTTTATTATTTTTTAAAAGAACATGACTTACTAAAAGACAAATTTGTATTGTATTTTCTAGAATAAAAATTATTCTAAATTATTCTAAAAATAATTCTTCCAATGAGCATTCAGAGTGCAAGATGAAAGCACTCAGCTAACCTCTACCACTGGTTTGTAACAGATGTATGCTCTACTTCTTTAATTAGCACTCTCAACCTAAACACAACATAAATATTTAACTGATTATCAACACCAAGACTAGATTTTATTTCAAATATGGCTTCATGTTCAGTTGACCTCCTAATGTTTCACATCTCTAGGGACTGAGAAGCAGATAGAAACCTTCAACTCTATAATTTGTATTCACACTCTACAACACAGTATTACAATTGAAGAAAAACTGTACGTTTCTAAGACATTACCAGTTGTGTCTATTTTCTTTTTGATTATAGGTGGACTTGGCCTGCTAAAGAATCTTGCTTTTGAGTTACTTTCTTCGCAGCTTTCATCAATTTTTGAACACTCCTTTTCCACATCGAACCTTAAATTAATAAAATTACAGATTTAATGATACTGCATAACAAGACTCCTTTACTAATAGAAAGGGTTACTATATTTCTATTATAAACCAAAGGAAAAGAGAGTTTAAGGCTGTGTTCAGTTATCCATGACTATTTAGGAAGAAGATGTTTCATCTTATCTCCTTTCCTTGTGTTGGCTTCTTTTGCGTGTGTGTGCACTTGCCCTGCTTTTACATTACTTCCTCTCTCCCTCATCCCAACAACCAATATTCCATTTAACAAATAAATAAGATTAAATATATATATAAAAGATTTAACATACTTTTCCCATTCACTGTAATCCCGTGGTGTGTTTTTCTTGTTTCTTTCTTTGTTCTGTAAATTTTTGTTCTGAAAAAGAAACAGCCAGCCTGTAAAACAAGTTTCTGAAGTGGAAATTCACAGCCTTTTGTTTTGTTTCTGCAATACATATTCCTAGTAACTGACACTATTCATGACTCTTCTCAGCATAGTCTTCAAAACTTTGTCTTGCTTTAAAGAAAATCTTCATGTATTTCACATATCCTAGTAATCTGAGGAACTCTTCAGCCTCACACTTTATCTTCACTGGCCGGTAATGTCACAGAGGAATAGGATAAAAATTTCAGATAGGAAACTGCTCTTCTTAATTAGTATCTTGTGCTGCCACCTTGCAAACCATCTTTTCAACACAGCAAAGGAAAACTCAGTGTTGGGAAAACACAGCCTTGTGATGAGGTGTTTGGCAGCAGTAACCTTGTTTTAGGCTCGCCATTCCCAAGATAATGCAATGCACAGATTAATATTGTCCCTGGAACCCTCAAAACAAATTTACAATGTTTTGACTTCAAAATAGTGTCTGGACTTCTTTTGACTATGTCACACTCCATTCAAGCAAATTCCCAAGATAATTTACACTCATTCTAGCTTTTAAATAAGATCCATCATTGAGGTTTGCCTTACCTAAAATTCATCCTTAGGACCTTCCTGCAACAATCAGTCCCAGTAACAGATTCAACTAGCTTGTATCACAACCCATCTCCTACACTAATGGCACCTATTTCCATAGCTGGCACCTTTGTCAACCCTTCTACCTCTGTCCTGAGACTATATTTCTGCTATGTCCCTCTCTTCTTGTTGACTTCAACAATACTTAATAGCAAGGTGTGGTTCCAAACAGGTAGAACACTCAGTTCAAAATATTACCATCTACTCTGTCCTGGCCGTTCAGCCCTCTTCTTAACCTTGCAATCCAACATCCACTGAGCTGCACTGCAATTGTTTGTAGAGTTGCAGATTTACAATTTTCTGGGATCAAATATACAATTTGATAGAAATTGCAGCACAATCCCTAAATATCTGTAGCACTTCAACTGAGCACATGATAAACTGGACCAAAGAAACAAGCAGCAACCTCTTAAACTAGCTTTACCAGTGGTGACACTGTAACTAGGAAATACCTCTGCAGTTGAAGTAAACACCGCAATTTACATAATGCAAATGTGGCCCTTCCTGTGAACACTTCTAACTATAAAGTTAGGTTACACAAACTTTTACAGTATGCAACTTCAGAATTACTCTTAATGCTCTGAGTCTTTATAGAAGCTTCCAGGCCAGGTTGGACAGAGCCTTGGGCAACATGGTCTAGTGTGAGGCTTCCCTGCAAGGGGGTTGGAACTAGACGATCTTAAGATCCTTTCCAACCCAAACCATTCTATGACAAGCTAGACAAAATGAGAAACACATTTTGTCTAAATGCATGTTTGGAGGAGGTAACTCCTAAATATGGCTTCCTGAAACATGAGTTACCATTCTACATCCTGGCTTATATTACAAACTTAGGAATTTAATAAATGTTAAATCTTTTTTTTTTAAACAAGAAGTCCTTATCTTAAAGGAACACAAAAATAGTGAAACTTTCTGAAGAAAACTCATTTAAGGTATTTACTAATGCAACTTTAATTTAGGGAGAAAACTACAGCATGTGAATGCTCCATCCCTGGTAGTGTTCAAGGCCAAGCTGGATGGGGCTCGGAGCAACCTTGTCTAGTGGAAGGTGTCCCTGCCTGTGACACCTTCAAGGTGATCTCAAGGTCCCTTCCAACCAAACCATTCTATGATTGTATGATTCTACGTCCTTTTAAGGACTAAGGCAGAAGAGTTTACTCAAAATGCATGATTTTTAAAGTTCTAGGTCTCATTCTTGGGACCACTGTAACCACGTTGTAGCTCCAGGAGAGTCAGGAATTTCTCAATGAGTAATACTTCAGAACATCCCATCCAAGAGGCTTTGGTGAAAAATGATCATTTGCATGCTAAGAAACTGAAACAAAAAAATCTCTGCCCTTGTCCTCTTTTTGCCACAACTCACAATGCATTGATCCCACAGGTTTTGAAGCCCAGTAAACAATTTCTAGACCAAATATCAAAACATGGACTGGCTTCAGTACAGATGACACAGAATTAGGCCTTGGCTCTCTTCTGGGCTTTCTGTTATGGTGTAAGACATTACTACTCGGTGTCAGCTAACCGGTATTCCTTTTTAATTCAGAATATCCAAAATATATGAAGGCACTACAGATACTATCACAGTGGATTTCTGTAACATAAAACTTGGACTTTAGTGTGAGGAGGTATCTGAAGACAGAAATCATTCTGGAATAGTATTAAGAACTGTGTTTGGCAAAGGAACCCAAGTCTGTTGAAATCCCATCAGCAGTCATTGGGAAGTATCTTTAAACCAATGCTTTAGTTCTGTCCTGGAAAAAGTGAAGCAGCAAAAGTAACAGTTAAACAATGTGGACAGTAAAGAACAGAAAAACTCAAGCTGTCTCTCCAGTCCTCTTTTCTTTTGGGGTATACATATAACCTCACAGTTCTGGGCAGTGTGAAAGAAAAACAGGGGTATAAGAAAATTCCATACTGTGTTAAAGAGGGAAATATGGCATAAAGTTCACTCTATTCTTTTTTTTGGAAAATATTCCCTATGACGCCACATCAATAAAAAGAGACCACCATCTAGAGTTATAAGCTATTAGTAGTGAATTGAAACTGTACCTACATCAGCAAGAAAATCTGGTTACAGACACAAGATGCTTTCATTTACCAAACTCGTACCCATTGGTACAATCCACTGTTTTAGGGTCAGTAAGGTTTTCTCCAGAATTGGCTTCATTGAAGATACTGAACTTTTTATGCATCAGATCAGATGAAGAGTCTCCAATCAAATAACAACATAAAATTATAGAAGGGCTTGTGGATTTTCTTCTAGTAGAGAGTAGAAATTTATCATCCCGACTTTGTACTTGATACCACATTGCAAAATTATGTGATGCCAGTGTAAATAATAATTACAGTCCTAAATGACTAGCAAAAAACTGTTTAAAATTTGTGAAATTACACCCAGCTTTATCAGCAAGAAAAAAAAGAAAAAAGGAAAAAAAAAATCTATATTTACAGGTATAAATTTAGTGCATACTATAGAAACAGCTTCTTTTTATTCAGTACTTATCTAGTAGTGCTATAACCACACTGCTATATTAAAAGACTGAATTCTAGAACTCTTCCAGGACAGGTTACAATTACTTCTGAAGCCATCTGCTTGGACAAAAGGGATGGAAATTATATACCACAGGCAAGGCATAAAGCTGTATCTAGGTTTTCTGGGTAATAATGCTAACACCTCAACCTTGTATGGAAAACAAAAGTTATAATAATAAATAATTATTCCAAAAATTTTTTTCAAATTATCAATTAATAAAAAATATCACATGACCTATAAGGATCCTTTTATAAAATTTCTCACTTCCAAACAAACAGGACTAGCTCCTGTCTGGTCTCATGGAACAAAAGCCTACTGGCAGCTGGAGAAAATCTTCTCCAAAAGGAACCTAGCTCATATGCTTAACACCACTTTGAAATGTGAATCAAAGAACATAAAAGGGTATTTAAGAAGATTTGCTCCAGAGTGATTGCTTCATCAGAATTAAAACATTATTACAAGACACCTGCTAGTACTAAGGAGGCACATTAGTCTTTTGTAGAGAAACTTAAAAGGTTTATATTTCCTGGTTAACAAAATGAAACTAGTAAGAAAGGCTCAGTGGCTGGAAGTCTATGGAGATAAAATTTCCAGATTTTAGAAAGGCATATGATTAATACACAATAGAAAACTAGAGATACCTGATTAGCAGGAAAACAACTGGAACAACGAATAGGAGGCAAATTATCTTGTCTTTCATGTAGTGGATCTGTTCTCAGGAATTGCGGTTTCTTATAATCTTCATTCATTTCTGTCACCCAGCTCTGAAAAAAAATAAGTATCTGTACGTTAAGGCAGTAAAGCAGATATACTTCATAGTCTACAATGACACTAATAACTGTCTTTATAATACAGTGCTCTTAATGGGGAAAGCAATTAAGACAAAAAGCAATTGTGCTTTTTTGAATAAAAAGAAATCTACAAAAAAAATTTGTAGAGCTAAAAAGGAGAGTAAAGATTCAATGACACCAACTCAAGAAAATAATAAAACCACCACCATAATCTTTTGATCACTTCCTCATTTAATCAAACAATTGCATTCTACTTATGCACAAGAAGAGGAAGATTGATAACATCAATGAGATTGTATTATGACCATTATAAATTAGTTATACTGTACCATCAGTTCACCATTAATTATCTCCCATTCTTCAGCTGTGAAATCAGAAGCTGTGGCTGCAGGCTTTTCTTTTCTCAGAGCCCTGCTCCTTGGATCTAAGCGCTCAATACGCTTTTCACAAAACAATGTCAGTTCAGGATAACATCCCTCCTCACCAGACCTTTAAAATTCAAAGATATAAAAGTTACAGAACTGAACTGCACTGGATCTTCCATATTTCTCTTCATGTATAGTCATCACAGAGACTGAAGAAGAGTATTTTCCTGTTACAATTTGTCCTGGGTTCAGGACTATAACCAGAAAATTCCAGTCAGCTAGGCTTCAACCACTTTCCAATGCACATACATACACAGTTCAAAATTATCATCACAGTGCTCAGGAAAAAATGATTGTGTTTTTTTTTTCTGTAGAATTTAAACAAGAATTTCACCTGAAATGACCACACTCAGGCAAGATGGCAGTATTTGAGAAAAACTGGCACTGGGTTACTCAAATCTTTTGGATGGTTAGAACAAGACTTGGATTTCTAGCATTATCATTCGGACACTTTTAACAAAATTTTTTTTTTTTTTTAATTAGAGAGTCACAAAAAGGTTCAAGACAAATAGAATATTTAGGTACAGGTTCTGTTGAATTTTACAGAGCATTAATATAATTAGTAATGAAGGTAAGAAAATATGTTTACCTTAATATCCTGAGAATCTTTTCCAGGTGTTTAACGTCTGTGCATTTTTCAATGAACTTGTAGTCCAAGTGACCAATGGGTATTTGAAATGTTTTAGTGGTTCCTTGATCCATAAAAAATGGTACTGACTCATCACCCATAACTAAATATTAAAAAGAAACAAATGTAGCAATTCCATAGGCAGTTATATTTTAAAGCAATGCTAATTTAAGAAATAACTCTACTCATGCTCAGAAGTACTACTCTGTTATGCAAGCAGAACTATTGCCACAAAAGAAAAAATTCAAATTTTAAGACCTGACCACACAAACTGGTTTTCAGAGAGATTTTCTTACAGAAGTACAGTTATGAGATATGCTTTGGAAAAAAGAATATGGACAAGCCTACTGATTCTGCAAGGCAGAACATGTCAGAAAGAGTGCTTAAAGATATCAATTTTTGCCTACTAGATTCTCCATTATTCTTTAAACACAGTATGGTATTATCTATTTTAAGCAAGTGTGGTGTGGATGGTGCAGTACCCTGTACTTTTTTTCAGAGGCAAGATGTTAACCAACTCAGTGCATGTAATGGTGTGGTAACTTTTGCCTTCTCTTTAGCCAAAATAAAACCAATTGTCTTTCTTCACTAACTGCATTTTCTAGACCTCTGATTATCTTAGTTTACCAATCTAAATCTTTTCCAGTAAGTCTCTAGCTGATGAAATGAGGTTTTCAAATGGGACACTTCCTGTCTCCCTGTACCTTTGAACTGCTTATCTGCATCTTCTTCTATTTTGATTTCAAGCTCTGTGAAGCAGATGTTATTCTTTTTTTCCTCCCCATGTTATATAGTGCGTAAAGTGATGTTATTTTAACAAGAACAGCTAGCTAGTACACAATAATAGCAACGTATAAACTCAATTAAAGTAACACAATTACATTAATTTTTAGTTGCACAAAAAAAGTTTATTATTTAAGCAATACTCGATTGTAATTGGTCGTAATTAGGTATTGCATAAAGACAGGATTCTGTCCTGAGAATGTGCGGTTTCAGTAGAGGAGAAACAGAGCAATACAGGAAACAATAGGAGTAAAAAGCAAGAAAGGCACTCATCACAGACTGCAGCACTTTCTCCCGTGTCAGTATTTCCGTACCTGTCAGGCAGCTGCCCGGAGCAGCTCTCGGGCCAGGCGGTGACACGTACCCCTCGGTCGCACGGCACCGCCGCAGCCCAGCGCGCTCCTCGCCTGCGGGCAGCTCCCCGCAGCCGCACCGCCGAGCCCTGCTCCGCGGCTCTGAGAGTACCGTCTTTACCCACGGCGTCAGGAATTTACTCTAAAGCCGACACCGCCGGCTCCCCTAGCACCACAGCGCGGCCACCAGGTCCCTAGCAACTGTTGCCACGTACAACATGGCGGCCGGCGGCTCGCACGGACGGCCGCGGGGCAACGGCAGGGCAGTGCAGCTGCCCCCCTCGGTGACCGCCTTGCGAGGCTTCCGCACAGCCCCGCTGAGCTCCAGCAGCAGCAGCGGCGCCACCGCCGCAGCGCACACCCGCACTCACCTACCTGGTGCCGCACTGCCTCCGGGAGACGAGCGCAACCTAGGCCTCGCCTCAGCCAATACCCGCCTCCCGCTGCGCATGCGCTGCTGAGCCGTGTGGAGTGGAGGGTGAGGGGCGGGAGCGAAACGCTAGGCCTAAGGAGAATGGCGTCGGGGTCGCTCCTCTCCCTCGCACGGCGTGGCCGGGGTCACGACACAGAAACACAACATTTAGGTTATGTTGTATTAAAACTACAGCCCTACTGTATACTACAGTATACAATGTAGTATTTTATTTAGCTTAGAACAATCCCCTCCCAACTCTGGTGCCTGCAGTGGTGCTGCCCTGCAGCCCCCGGCACTGCTCTGTGAAGCACGTCCGCACCACTTCCTAATGGGAGCAGATGCTCATCTGTGCCTTTGCCCACAGCCCCGCAGAGCCCGTGCCTTCGTGCCAGCAGGCCGCTTGCAGCATGAAAACTGCCCTCTCCCCAGCGGGCAGCTCTCAGAAGCCTTCGAGCCCTCGTTGCTGTTGTGCAGGCACACACTGCATGCTACGTGTGCCAGTAGGGAGAACAAACCGATTGCAACTGTGCAGTAAAATTGCTGTATTCTCATGCATTTACACCGAAGTGTATCTGGCTTCCAAGAAATGAGATGAGAAATGTATTTACAGCTAAAATGAGATAAGATACCTAAGACAATATTTATCAAACAGCTCCAAAATACAATCTCAAGAATGCTTTTTTATCAGAGGAAATGACCCACTGCAGTTCATTTATGAGCCAGTACATGGCCATGCAGTCTGGCACAAGGATACCTCACTATAATGATAAGAGATAAACTATCTTAACACACACTCCAAACAGGTGAAAAAAAAAGTACTGGCTCATCAATACAAAACCACTTTGATGTTTTTATTACAGTCCCCTGAGAAGCCACCAGAAAAACAAAACAAGATGCTATTTTTTGTTTTGGGACACTACCCAAATTATAGCACAGATCTAATTCTTTCCCAGGCACAACCAAGACAAGAAGCACACTGGAATTCCCATTTACACATTGTTCCTGATGTTTACCTTGCCTCCCCTCTTCTTTTCCGAGAGATTATTTTTTTGACACTTCCTTTACAAACAGGTGCCTGAACTGGGTGCTTTTGAGTCCTTTGAGATTTGCTCGTTTGAAATGGAGATTTGCATTCCAGGCCTAGCCTTGTGTAACCTGTTTATTTTCAGTAGAATTTATTCAAACCACTGTTACTTTATGGAGTCTATAAAAGTCCAGAGAACATGTAACAGAAGTTAAAATGCAAATAATGTTTAGATGAGAGTAATGAAAACGAGGTTAACTCAAAAAGAACACAATACCACTGAACTTTAAATGACCACTGCATACTCCAACTACAATTTAAAGGATAAGTTTAGAAATCTACTGCTGGAAGACAATAGAGACATAATTTAGTATAACAGTAAACTTTAATATTTCAATCTCTTAAAACACAAATAACAGTGTGCATTTGTACATGAATGAATTTACAAAGCAAAGTTATCAGAAAGATTAAACTGCCCTCATGACATCACTGTATCTTCAGCAGACATTATCGGGCATCAAAAACCACCACTGAAATAGTGCAGTTAAAGAAAAAAAAATGCATTGTGGTTGAAAACAAAAAGATGGGGGGGAAGAAGATTGTCTAAATCTAAAATCACAAGTAACTACATAAAAGCATTTCAAAACTCATCTTTAATTAACCCCACAGCATCTTTTCTTAAAAGGCTGAATAATACCAACAATCCATAGTACACCACCCAGCATACTATCATAGCTTAATATATTTTGCATAGAAAATGTCAAAAAGAGAGAAAGTGCCAGGAAAAAGTACAAGGCGCCCAATCACACTGCAGAGATTTCCCTATAGTACTTTGCTCTACTATACTGATTTCTGGCCTTGAAAGATTCTTACATCCTTACTCAAATCTTCCACTCTGTTGCCCTTATATATACCTTGTCTCCATCCACAACTTTCCAAATGCTGTCAAGTGCATGTGTAAAAGGATACATCTTTTTGTCCTTTTCTTGTACATTATTCTGTAGCCACATTCTCTGCATCTGATGGGATCTCTTGCCTTTATTTCATTTTCTGTATGACATTCTGACATGATGAAGATAAAGAGAGTGGTTAAACAAAACCAGTAACTTTCAAAAATCGTAACAGTCAAATTCCTATTTGTGGCAAATGTAACAAAAACCAGCTGCGGAGGATCTGTAGCAAGAGCTGAATGGTATCAAGATACTGCATAAAAAAAGAAATTCACAATCTTCAGTTCTATTAAGATCAAAGAGGATCTTGCTAAAAATCACCAGATTGTTACTGTATAGAATATATTCCACTCTTGATACAACTAGACTGCCTACTAATGAAATCTTCAGCTCATTCTCCCAACCCAAGTTTATTTTCTTAAAGACAAAATACTTCAGGTATTCCCAAAGTGATGGCTCAAAATCACCAGTTCTTAAGTTGTTGACATATATAGATAAGAGAGATTTGACTACTGCACTTCAAGAAAAGATGAGTAGCATCTGTGCACCTAGCACTTTCAAAAAACTCTTGAAGTGCACTAAATAGAAGGTCCACTGTCTGCACCACAAGCAGACACTTGGAGAAAGCATCCTCTGGAGGTGGATGACCTCCGCGCAGCAATCTCCACAAGCTCTTATGAATTACTTCCACATTGCTATCCAAATACACTCCATGTATATGGTACCATCAGTGTGTAAAACTTTAAAGAACACCAGGAACCACACTACAACTATTCATATTTATGCACTCTTCAGTATAATGATTAGGCATTCTTCATTATTAAAACACCAAATCTCCAGTAACAAGTAAAAAAATTGATGTCTTTTCTTTACCTCCACAAATGTAAATCATTGGCTGCTGCTTTGGAGGCTGAACATCCTTCTGTGAATCCATGCTCTAAACAAAACACACATGCACATCATGTATTTTTTTAATTACTTTTTCAAGGCGTACATAATCATTTCAATATCTCAGTCTAAAGCTCAGCTTCTCAAAACCAAAGTCACATCAGGTTTCTCAGAGCTTTACCAATCTGGTATAGAAAACCTCCAAAGATCATAGAATCATACAATAGTTTGAAGGGACCTTCAAAGGTCATCCAGTCCAAACCCCCTGCAATGAACAGGGACATCTCCAATTAGATCAGGTTGCTCAGAACCACATCCAGCCTGGCCTTGAATGTCTCCTGGGACAGTGCATCCACCACCTCTCTGGACAACCTGTGCCAGCATTTTACCACCCTCACTGTAAAAATTTTTCTTCATGTCCAGCCTGAATCTCCCTTCTTTCAGTTTAAACCCATCACCCCTCATCCTATAGCAACAGGCCCTGCTAAAATGTCTCTTCTCATCTTTCTTATAAGCCCCTTTTAAGAACTGAAAGGCTGCAATAAGGTCTCCCCAGAGTCTTCTCCAGGCTGAACATGCGCAACTTTCTCAGCCTTTCCTCATAGCAGAAGTGCTCCATCCCCCTGATTACTTCTGTGGCCTCCTCTGGACCCCCTCCAACAGGTGCATGACTTTCCTGTACTGAGGACTCTACAGCAGACAGCATGACATTTTCTATTTAATGAGATTCTAAACATTAAAGCCCAATTAATATTTTACTCCTACCTCTTGCCAATGCCCTACTAAAAACATAAAAAGAAATTATTTCTTATGTAACACTATTATCAACAGTGTTATCATAAAACAAGATAAGCTTTGCATTTTCCCTTTCACCCTCTGATACAACACTAGCTAACCTAATCTACCTTTTCATTGATTTAAGGAATTATAAATCCTTGGAACAGACTGTAGGTAGAAGAGGAATAAAAAAAAAAAAGGGGGGGCGGGGGGGGGGGGTGTCAAGGGGCAGAGAGAAGAAATTCCACCCTCAGAATCCTAACATAGGTGTGGACAATCACAAAACTGATCAAGAGTTTGGTAACGCAGTGATACTCTTCAAACACTTAATGCCCTATGACATTTTTTATTGTTTGGATTTATTTAAAGACAAGCATTCCTTTGCAGTATATCAGACTAAATAGTTACATATCCTCCAAAAACATGCTACTAACCTTTAAGTAATCCTATTCTAACACAGAAATATGGCTGCAACCATAAGTTTCAAGGTTGCTCCTGTAACCTCTAGACAGATAATCAATACTTTTTTTCCACACAATTCAAGACTAGACTAGGATCTAGTTGTACATGTTTTTGTTTAAGAGTCTAATCAGCACCTAACAAACCACCTTTTTAAAATCTCATTATGCCACTCCATTTGAGGGAACTGGAAATAATTCATTAAACTCTACAGCTTTCAAGTAAGGTTTTGCTCTACCTTAACCACAGTGGCAACTCGATCCACAGGTGTTATAGCCTTTTTGTGTCAGTACACTATAGTAAGATTAACATTACAGTGATAATTATAGTAACAGTACGTTATAGTAAAATATACTATAGTAATTCATTAGCACTTGAAAAGAGCAATTTCCAAGCCAGAGAGCTGAACTAAGGACCACAGCTGCAGTAGTACACTGAGTGCTGCTCATGCAACAAAATAATACTGCTACTAAAGACTACAGCTATGTATTTTGCAGTGAGGTGCCATGGATTGGCCGGCCTCCACGTACCCTGCAACTACAAGTGCTGCCGAGGTGCCACAGGCAAAAGGCACACAGCGATGCACCCGGCTGCAGCCGCCATCTACCGCCAAGACGCGAGACGCCGGCCGAGCTATTACGTATCTGTGAGAGACGAACCCGCTACTTTACGTCCCGTAGCACCCACAGAGGGGGACGGCCAGCGGCCTTCCTCAACTGCAGGAACAACAGCCCGCCCCAGTTCCGCACCGGCGCCTTCCCTACCTCCCCGGGGGGCTTTACGCAGGAGCAAAGGTCGAGGCTAGGCCAGGCCTTTCCCTACTCGCCACGGTCTCTGCACCTCCCCGCTCCCGCTCCGAAGGGGACTACCGGCTGCGACGGGAGAATCCCAGAACCCCCAAACAAAACCCAGACCACCACTCGCCTCCACAGCAACTCCACCCGCCCCGCTCTGCCCACGGCGCCGGCTGATGACGACACACCGTGCGCCAGTGCCGCCCTGCACACCAGGGCGTGCCGCTGTGGTACCGGCCGGCAGAGCTGAAGTGCGCACGACACGGGTAATCTCTGCGCGGCAGGTTAATCCCGACACCTTCAGCCTCCTCCCCTCTCGGTAGTGAAGCCGAGAAAGAAATAAATGCTTTTATAACGAGTGTGAGCGTTAACCGCTTATGACGAAAGCGCAGAATATTCGGTGGCATTTGTTAAACGCTCAAGCTTTCGGCTGAATCGTATTGCCGGTGTGCGAAGAAGACAGCGGGCGGTGCAGGGGTAGTGCGACAAGATCGAGCGCACCCGGCTTTTCGGTGTGGCGGCGCCCGACCGGCTGTTCGTGCGCGGGTCGGGCAGCAGCGGGGCTTTTAACACGCCTGGGCTCTCGCCTCCGGATCTTCAGTTCTATGTAAGACACTTGGATAAAAACAGCATCTTGGTATTCATAGAATCTCAGAACCGTTTGGGTTGAAAGGGAATTCAAACCTCATCCAGTTCCAACTCCCTGCCAGGGCCAGAGACACCTTCCACCAGACCAGGTTGCTGAAAGCCTTGCACACTGGCAGGGATGGGGCAGCCACAGCTTTGGGCAGCCTGTGCCAGTGCCTCACTGCCCTCACAGTAAATAAATTCTTCCCGATGTCTAATCTAAATCTACACTGTTATAGATTAATGCCATTCCCCTTTGTCCTATCACTACATACCCTTGTAAAAGTATTTTAAGCTTGTGGGCAGTATCATATGTACCCGTATTAATCCAAATTTACAAGCCGCGATACAACACATTTTAAGTGTGAGTTACTATGAAAGAAGTTCAAACGTCGATGATTCCCGAACTGGAATAGCACAGACGAGACTTGGAATTTCACCGGCTGCACTCTCGGTCCCTGGCTCAGAGTCACTGGCGCTGCAGATTTGGAATCCTCGCTGGGCATTTAGCAGAATAACCCATCTTTGCTTTATTTCTGGAAAAAAATGCTTAACAAATACTGTTTTGAGAATATGCCCATTTAAATTACTTCATCATTTAAAAAGTTTCCTAATTTAAGGAAATGTATTTCTTCTCCTGAATACTGAGTATAAAATGTTTCTTAACCACCCAAATGCGTGGATGTGCATGAAGTTTTACCAGTGGTAATTTATTGATACTGTTCTCATAGTAGCAAATCACCTTCATACATTACCTACAGCTTATCTAAAATAAACTCGGCGAATAATAAATAGTTGCGCTTTTCCTATTTTTTTATTTAAGTTAAACGTAATGAAAATACAGTAGTGATTTCAGGCAGCTCAAATAAATACATAGAATAAAGGGAATGTGAAGCAGAGCCGGGGGGAAACCTGAACCCTTCCCTTCATGGTAAATGCATGCGAAGTAATAACCATCTCATAAATAAACAAAAAAACCACAACTGTTATTTCCGCACGCCCGTTTTATGTTTTAAAACGCGTTTGTCAAACCGGTAATTTTAAAAGAACTTGTCAATAACTCCACACCATGAAGAAGTCAGTTGAAGTTAGTTCTGTGAAGCTGCCTCCCGTATTAGGGAAGGAATCTTATAATTGCTTGATTATTGTCAGCTTTTACCTGTTCGCTTGAAAAACCAGGATGTTTTTACCAGATCTTAAAGGTTCGTCCCTCCAGTCTGTTCTGAAACAGCCCACTTCCCTCAGAGGAGCGCTTTAACAGCAGCCCGTGATCTGACGGGCGGATAAACTCTTGCCCTAAGGACGCTCCTTGGATTTGGAGGAGCAGAAAGGGTTGGGAGCTGTGTGGGAGACCTCCACTGTCCCAGAAAGGGAGACAGCTCTTGGGGAATTGGTAGGAAAGAGTAAGGAAAGGCTTGTGGCGGGAGGCGGGGAGGTGCGGGGTACTTCTAGATGGTAAACAAACGCGGTCAGAGCCAAGCGCAGCGTATGTTGCAGACTGTCTTACCTCGTTTTGTTTAGAAGCAGTGTTCTCAGGTTTGGAGGGTTTGGGTTTGTAGTGTAGGTTTGCATTTTTCTGATTCGTTGGTTGGTGGGTGTGTAACGCATTTTGTTAAATCGCGCTTTGTTTTTAGCGCGATGTCTCTGTTTATTGCATTAAATGCGGCAATTACAAATTGTTACTTTTTTTTTTTTTTGTCTATCAGGGTTTGAGTGACCAGACAAAACTTGCAGCTACTGGCCCGCTTTAATGAGCTAGCAGGCTGCCAATTTCACAGAAAAAAAAATCATTTATTTTATAAATAAATACAACTATTTGAATCATGTTTTCTTCTGATACACGTGAAATAGACGATATTACAGAAGGCACTTCTGGAAAACTTGTATTACATGCTGGAAAGTTTCTAACGATTTCTTCTAAAAAGGAAAGAGCAGATACCCTGACTTTTAAGCCCGTGTTTCCTGAAGCCACTCTGAGCCTGCCGGGCAGGTCGGCTGTCAGAGACTGGAGGTTGCCAGAGGGGAACGCTGCAAATTTGGGGATGACAGTATCTCATTTCGGCCTTTTTTTTGAAAGCCTCTACTTTGCTTCTTTAGATGTAGGTGTTGCTTTTAGAGTCGCACACGGCGATTTCATATCTCTCCTTCATTGTCCTGGTGGAGGAAGAAAACTGGAAGTGTGAAGAGGGAAAGAAGCAACAAAATTAGAGATAACCCGGAGTAATACTAGCGAGATGAAGGGGAATAACACCCAGCAGAAGGAGAACACTACAGTGATTTAATTGGGTCTTCTTTATGCCCCTGTGTAGCAAGCTCCTGCTTCCCCCCCCCCCCCCCCGTGTAGCCCCACGTTATCCTTACTGAGCTCACAAAAAAACAGGCACCCAGGTACTCGTGGGTTTGTTTATTCCTTTTTTTTTTAATTTATTCTTAATATACAGATTAATTAAAACTAAAACCATGCAAAACCTAAGCGGCTTCTCACTGTCTTCCACCCGACAGTTTATTTAGATGGCGCTTGACAAACGCTCGGTGATTGCTTTGTTTCTGGGCTGCCGGGTACAAACGTACTAATTACTCGCATTAATTAGCACCCTTATAATTCAACCTTAAAAGTTGTGGTGTAAAGTTCGTAATGTGTGAAAGTCTGTCGCTGGCTGAGATCAAGCCGCGTCTCTGCGGCCCCCCAGCCCTGGCAGCCCCAGCAGGGAGCTGAGGGGGGTCCCACAGAGGCGGGAAAACCGCGCCCTCCCCAGGCACCTGAGGAGAAGCAGGGCGCGGGGAGAAACGACTCGGGGGTGTCTTTAATGGTGGGCTGGGTGCGGCGGGGGCCGCAGGGCTGAAGTATAAAGTGTAAGGAGAAGGGTAAGCCCTTTCGTATCTCGGAGGAGTGGGCTTTCACGTTCGGCGGAGCCGTCCTCCCCAGGCTCAGGCCCTCAGCCCGCTGCCCTGCCCTGCCCTGCCTTGCCTGTCCCGAGGGCCGCAGCACGAAAGGGGTGGGGGAGGCAGTGTGGAGCGGTTGGTGCGGCGGGTAGTTCAAATCCAAGCGAGGGAAAGCGGCGGCGGCCGCACGCGAGGAGCCGGTGTGGGTGGAGAGAAGCGAAGCGGCTCCTCACTAAGGGCAACGGGCTTCAGAGCCGGGAGGAGAGCTGCTGGAGCGGTAGGAGCCCTGTTCTCTCTAGTCTGCAGGTCCTTGCTTTCAGCCCTCAGGGGGTCCCGCCAACCGGCTCAGCTGCACCCGGTGGTAGGGGGCCTCTATGCTCTGAATCCTGTGCCCAGCCGTTTGCCAGATGAGGGAGTAAAGCTGTTACTGTCCGGCATCCCAGGTGCCTGAGGTACCCTCGGGGGTTGGTCCCTAGGTAGCCGTTACCTTCATCGCTGGATAATTAGATATTGCAGTAAACGCATAGATGAACTGACAGTTGTGTCTTAGCTAGGTAACGTTTCTTTTGCACCTCTCTCTCTTCTCTCCACATCCTTTCTCACTTCAGGTAATCAGTAGCGGTAAACAATACTTTGACTATAGAACCTTTCCTTTGGAAGATTTGTAGTTGCTTCACAAATTGAGGTAAGTGACCCACATCTTACAGATAGGACCTAGCTATACCATCTTCAATATTGATACCTTTGAAGGCACTCATAACTTCCCTGTTTTTATATATGGATGCTTACAGAGCAGGGTCTTCAGATAATTTTACTGCAGATATGGTATCTGTTTAAATCACAGAGAAAATAAGTCTTGTACCACTGGAACTTTGCCTTTATCTGTTTTGTTAACAATGGTGGCAAGGACAGAAAAGTTCAAAGCATCAATGTTCAGTGTGTGTTACTGGGGAATGTAAATTAGTATTGCAAACAAGTGTGACTCCGTCCTATGATCTCTGCTTAAGTTAATAGGCACCATATAGGCATCACTGCCTTCTATGACCAACATTTTTATCTCTTTAGGACACTGTAAGACTGAGCTTGTCAGAAATTATGTCTTGTCTAAATACCAGAATCCTGTTCTTTATTTAGTTTGGGACTCTGAATATGAAATATTTTGTTCTGTAAATTGCAGTTGACTTGTAGATCAATTTGAGAACTACAAAATTGGTAATAGATGTGAAAAATGCATACAGCACAAGAATCTACATCTAGAAGATAAGGATTTTAGTCCTTCCTTGGTAACTGACTTGCTTGTATGACCAGTCTTCGCTGCACATGTGTTTTATGATGTCTAAGCCAAGGTTAACAACACTTTCAGAAATTACCTCAAGATCACCAAATGAAAAGAGCTTGATGTATTGGATATAGTAGATGAAAATTTCCCCTCATAAAAAATGAGTGTTTTATAATTTAGATAGGTCATAAGAGGTTTTACTAAACATCTCTTATGAATGTGAGTAGCATCTCATTTCATATGAGAGATGTTCAGCAACTCTGAAAGCCTTTCCCTTCTGTAAAATGAGACTTTTTGTTAAACTTAAATCTTCATTTGTACAAGGAAAAAAAGTATATACAAACCTCAGCTGTATACCGGGACTTGCTGTAAAGAAGCGTAATGGACTTTGTTCGCTACTGTATTGCAGCAGCTTGCTTAAAATTTCTTAAAGTTGTTCTCTCAGAATCCATCTAATAAGTTTACAGGCTCCTCCTGCTGGGCGCTAGCGTATTTACAACGTATTTACAGTTTGAATTACCAGCATTCTGTCAACTCTACTGTTCTGTTCTCCCCTACAGCTGCAAAAACTTGTTTTTCTATGATTTTTGTGTTATTTGAAGCACAAGTTTGCTTAAGTTATTTTATGCTGTAATATTTTAAATTTCCTCTGCTTTCAGTTGTTCATAAGGCTAAGTGATTGGAATGTCCAAGAATGAAATTTGAAGAGTGAGGTTTTCCTTTTGTTGTTTCTTTAGCATGTTGGCTGAACACTAAGTTTCTAAACCTGCAAGCCTCTGCACTTTTGTTAAATGTGTGTTTAGTTTCACTGTGTTTAAGGAAAATATTAATATTTTTAAAGGTAAGTGTGGGTATGTGATTTTTGGGGTGTGGGGGATGGAGGCATTGAGATTTTGAATAGCCAACTCGAAGTAACACTCAAAGTTTAAAGGTCTGTTTATCAGCGTTTTTGGTAGGAATATCTCCTGACAACGTTTGTGAACTACTGCACTTCCACAAATTTCAGCATAGAAAACTGAAAGCTCTATTCTTGCAGATTACACAATGATAATGCCTTATTGTTACTACAGGTTTCTTACAGGTCTTCCTCCTTTTATGAAAACAAGAGATGTTCTTATGTGGTTCTCTGCTCTTAGAGTAAATAATCATCTGAAGAGCAACTACAAAGACTCTTCATACCTTTTTCCTATATTTTAAAGTTATTTTCTAGTTCATAACACAGCATTTTCAGCCTATTGCCTAAAATGTTGAAAAGTGAGGCAGTTGAAATGGTAAACACTGCTTGGAGTTGGTCCTCCACTGTTAAGGAAGTTATCCCTAATTCATTTTGTAACTAGCTTAATGCTGTGCACTTGTGTTTCCTATTTGTGCTGTCATTTATTTCACAAAATGAAAGCAAGGAATGAGGACAGATCAGTGAGGGGAAAACAAATGTGAAAATAAGGTACCTGTAGAGGTAAATGGGAGAGGGAAAAGAAAAAGGCCAGACTTCAGAGTTTGTTGTCATCTTGGAATTATTTTTACATACCTTTCTTTTCTGGAAGAATTTTCCTCAATTATATGGATAGATTCTTTTGTTGTTGCTGCTTTAAATCTATTTGATTTCATACTAATCCAACATGATGCTGTAGGACTTTATGCCAAGTTCTGTTTGCTGTTCAAGATCCTGTTCTTTTTGAGCTTCTATACATTGCTCTCTCCTCCAGAGTAGAAACCAAAACAAAGCATTTTCTATACTGCAATGATCTTCTAAAATGCCTTCAGTATGGGTCAAAAAATGCTAATTAAATCATCTAAAATCATCAAAGGATAGTTCCCCTTTAACCCTTTGGCAATTTGGGTTCCCACTGCCTGTATTTGGTGTCTAGGGGCTTGACTAAGTCGCAACTTTTGGAATATTAGCTATGTCTTAGTATTTGGTGTTTAAGCCATCTTTAAAGTTTCCTGTGTTTGTCTGTTCTGAAAATTCAGCCACTATTTCCAGGCTTTATGTTCCAGAATACCAGTTCTAGAGGCCAGTAACATACCCCAGTAAAAGGTGCCAATTCAAACTTTGAAAGTCTTTCAATGTTGATGTGAACTGCTATGGTCTCTGTGAGAACAGCCCTTAGACTGGCATTTATTCATAACATTTTTTACTGTGTCTTGTGTTCAGAAAGCAATGACCTATTGCCACTCTGGTTAACGCATGAACGGCAGAAAATAAGTCTGTATTCTTATATCTCTTATTTCAATGGATGCATTGGTCACTTGTAACTTTATTCTAGGAAAATATGTAGTAGTTCTTAAAAGCTTTTATACTTAATAAGTTTGAAGGAAACTTTATTTCTGTGTGCGTGATGAGAGAATGTGTATAGCCAGCCCATCAGTTTCCTTAAAGTGTAAAGCTTCAGAACACTCAGTTTACACACAGAACTGAGCAAAAGCAGAGAGCTTCTTTACAAGATAACATTTAAATGCAGGTAAGAATGCACTACTGTTCCTGTTGTAACTAGAGGTCAGATTTTATTCCACCCAGGGACTGTAGGGGTCTAAATAAAAGACTTGTGGACTTGTGACTTCATGCTTAATCCTCTCATTTTTCTCAAGGAAAATTTGTCTAAACCTTCTTAATAGCTCCTGCTAGTTCTTAAGACTGAACTGTTAGTGGTTGGATGTATCAATATTGTAGTGCTGATAAGAATCTTGGTGTTGTTGGAATGAGAGGGAGTTTTGTCACCAGTTTCAGCCCAGATGAGATTAGCTGCTGTGCTACTTATTTGAAATGTTTTTCCTTGGATGAGGATTGGCAGATCAATTGGCTAACTAGATGTACATTTTAATATGCCTCCTGGTATACTGTGTATTTTAATTAGTCATTCTAACGATCTACTTGATTGTAATTTATCTTTGTGTTCAACTATAAGCACTATTTCTACCTAGGACTAATATAAATACTTTTTGTCATGGCTGCTAGCTTGATAGATTTACAAAAGGCTTTCTCACTAATCTGAGGGTGATTTGGTGACTACTTTTATCATTTGTTTCAGAAGTAACACTGGTATCCTCATTTACAAAGTCAAAGTACCAAGCAGAAGATGTCGGACAGTAGTTCCATAATGTTCAATGTTCTTAAAAGAAATAGATTAACCTCTCCCAGCAGCAGCTTGAAATACTCCAGTTTTAAAGACACGTGTTGCACTTCATTATTTTTGGACAGCAAATGCAATGAGCCAGTAAAAGATCCTGATGTAGAACATAGAGAAGGACTGAGTGCAACAAGTTTATCTTTGCTACAAGAGCATTCTGAGCACATTCGTCCAAATGTCCCCTTTCCTGTGTCACCATGTATTGAAAATGAAATTAATTCTATCACCTTATCAGAAAGAAAAGAAGCAAACAGAAGTGCAGATTTTTTTGAAACTCCTAAAGTGAGTAGAAAAAGCTCCTCACTACGCAGGAGGCTGCTTTTATGTAGGGCTGTTCCAGCTGACGCAACTGTAGGATGCTGTGAAAGACAAGCTGGTTCTTCAGGAAGCATCCCGGGGAAAATGCTCTCCTGTGTTTTGAGCTGTGAAGAAAAACTTTCACAAACTGCTTCAGATTCTCTAAAAGATAAAGGTTACAAATGTCTTACAACTAGTACTTCAAAAACTGAGGACTCTATTCCTGATTGCTCAAAGAGGAGACTTTCCTTTTCACAACAAAGAACTTCTACACTAGATGAGTCCAAATGTAAGGATCCCATATTGCTAGAACCGGAGTGTTTATCTCCAATTCAATGTAAGGATGTTATTGTTAGCAATGCTGATGAATTCAATGAAAGTGCCCTTATAAGTGTTACTGACGGGTTGCTTAGGACTCCTACTTACAGTGTGTTACCTGAGGCCAATGAGGGTAAGTTTCTGACTTCCATCAACAGTCCTATAGAGAACTTTAACTTTGAACTATGTGATATAAATTCTCCCCCTGTTAAGCTGGCAAGTTACCAAGATCTTTCAACACCTGAGGATAGTGGATATAATTCACTTCATTTGGACAAATCGGGAGACTCATTGTCTGATCATGAGGGATCTTTCCAAGAGTTATCCCAAAAACGTAAAGAAGATTCCAAAATTCTGGATAGTAAAAGAAAGACAAGAAAACTTGAACGAGTTAGAAGGTTATCCACTCTTCGTGAACAGGGCTCACAGTCAGAGACAGAAGATCGTCATGGCAGTCCTTCTACTTCAGCATGTATGTTAACAGAAGAAAGCAACTTTGTCAGTGAAGACCATGCATTAGTTTCAGAACAGCCTACTGGAGATGTAGTTGTAAGTCATGGAGATCTCTCAAGAACTCCAGCTCTGAAAGTAGTTCATGAAATTTGCTTGCAAAGACAAAGATCAGACCAAAATCAAATATTGGAGAATATTGATGGAACAGAAATATTTGCATTAGAGCATGTTCTTGCTGGACTTATTGGCAAGAAAATGGGCCTTGAAAAATTAGATATTTTAACAGAGTTAAAATACAGAAATTTAAAACATGTTCTTGCTATAGTTTTAGATGCTTTGACAGTGGAAAGTCTATGCAGGTAAGTACTACTGCTTCCTTCTTCCCTCCTGCCCCCTCCCCCAAAGAGGAAAATATGTGTTTCTGCAAATAAATCAGAATAACTTCTGGAAAGGTGTCAATAGATTTTGTTTGTAAGGAAATGAAAAAGTTTTGTTGCCATTAACTGAGTGGCTCTTTCTGTGTAGTTTTAAAAATATATTGTATGGGGGGAATTAAAAACCAAAACAAATGAAAAGCCAAGCATGGGAATTAGTAAATTTAAAACTAAATCACAGTATTTTTAAAATGTAAAATGTATGAAAATTTTATTTAAATGTAGGAAGTTCTTCTCATTACAAGTTCCCCAACAATGTGTAGTACTCAAAACACATTTTCTAGATTTTTTTCTTGTGTATTTAATTTCCTCAGTTATTTCTAAGTACAGAGATGCTCAAAGAATTTTGATTCCTGAGTAATGTTCTAGATTAGTTTTTAATTAATAGAGGCTGTCACTTATTTCAAAGAAATCAAGAGTGCCATGTGTTCCATAGTTAGAGGGAATGGGAGAATAGGTATAAAGGCATGGATTTTTTTGGTAACATTTAATGCATGAAAATGTTACTTTGGAAACAAACTTGGTAAGTGGAAGGAAGGAACTTAAATAATTTTGTAAGTCAAAGATACTCTGTGTTATTTATATTGCAACTGTTCTTTAGGCTCTTCTACTATTCTATATAGTGGTGTGTAAGAGTACATGAGAGCTATATTTCCTAACAATATGGTGAACTAGAATATAGCAGTAGTCTGTAAAATGACCAATAGGACATGAAATCATGCAAAAATCTTTTAAAGGTAGTCTTACTAACGTGACTTCTGTACTTCTTGGCAAAAATGTGCAGGTGAGTAACTTTTTTCGTTAATTTGTTCCAGCATTTGGGAAGTAAGCAAAAGCTGGCGTGAAATCATTGTACAAGATAAAAGTGCAGATAAGAGGAGAAAGTTGTACATAAAACACCTGAAAGAAGAAGCTGGGGTAAGGTTGGTCTCAAAGGTAATTTTTTTATGTTTTTTTTCTTCAAATGTGGACCAAGGCAGGTCAGAGGAAAGAGGAAACATGTTGTAAAGCTACAGAAAGGTAGCTGGTACATTTCCAACATAAGTATGTGAAGGATTCTAGTAGGAGAATGTAATAGCTTTTATTACTTTTCAACTGTCCACAGTCTGAGTACTAGTCTTTCAGCTATGCAAGACACTGCCCTGCCCCATGCCCCTTGAGAATCCTGTAGGATCTCTTCCTTAACTGATTCTGGCTTTAGATCTGAAACCTTGTTCACACCTTTGTGCCATACTTTTCCTCATTTTCCATTTCACTCTATGCTGTAGGAGGCAGCCTAGACTACTTCCTGTTTATTTTCAGGACTGCTTGTAGCAAGGCTTCTTCATGGTGTACTTGTGAACATCAGGACATGTAGGAGTTTTTTAAGGGGCATCTAGAAAAGCAAGCATGTTAATAGCAGTATATATATATATGTTTGGGTTGGTTTTGGTTGGTTGTTTTTTTTTTTCAGATCCTCCACAAGTGTATACAGACACACTTCACTGTAACCTTGCTTTAATTGTGATGAAACTTATACTTGCTATTTCCATGCTTGCTGTTGAGATGTGTCCAGATTTGGAAACATGAAGTCTTCTGGTAGAGAGTGCTAAAAGACAGTTGGCTTTTTACCCTGTTCATGGGACTTTGTTTTTAATAGTTCCTGTCTTTTGTTCTCTTACTAAACATAAATATTTAAGGAAAATACAGGCACTATACATAATTTCATTTCCTAATGTGTTGTTGCAGAGGGAAAACAAAAAAAAAGGGCAAAACCCAGCTGCAAATCTTAACTAAAACCTTATTTCCTTTTGTGTGTTTTTGTTTTTTCTTCTCTCTGCTTGCTCCCCTTCCCCCCATGAACTTTAACAGGAATATTTATTGAAAGCTGAAGATGCTGCCACAAGACTTAATGTCCTCAATAGATCTGCTCTAAGACCTGTTCAAGCTCAAGCCAGAACTCCTGTCTTACAAACACCATTTTCATACACTGAAGTTACACCTAGGAGATGCAGTTCTGTTCCCCATTCAAGCAGTAGACAGGAAGAATACATCAAAGTAAGTAGCTAAGAAACTCGTCATTTTCAGTTTTTAGAGACTTTTCATTTACAAGGTCTGAGCAGCTCTCGTCTCCCTCCTCTTGCTACAGGTTGCTAAAACTCTGTGCACTGATGAAGCTATAAAACCTTGTCCAAGATGTCAATATCCTGCTAAATATCAATTGATAAAGAAACGGGGACTATGTAGCAGAGAGACATGTGCATTTGAGTTCTGTATTTTATGTTTGTGTGCATTCCATGGGTCAAAAGAATGTAATAGTTCATCTGCAAAACAGAACAAAAAAGATGCTCCTCCAGGAAGTGCCCAAAGCAAAAGAAATTTAAAAAGACTCTAAATTTGTAAGACATGTAAGTCCATACATTTAATTCCCTTCCCCCTTCTAAATTCCTAATCTTGTTCATATTATTCCTAAATACATGCATTTTGAAAGTCTCAATGTGTTTTTGCTGACTTGTTAAGATAACTTCTCATGTATATATCTTAATTTAGCAGATTTTTTTTTTCTGAAAAAAGTGAACATTTCAAAACATTTTGTCATATTTTACCTGTTGCGTAGTAGGTGGGCATTTGCTAATATCTGGATTATTTTAATAAAGTGTCTTAAATGTAGTCTTCAATATCTGGCTTCCAGCACCTCATAGATGTTTAAAAATGCAATTTTTGTCTTAATGACAAATTAAAGAAAATTATTTTTTAAATAAATCTTTTTAATGGAATTTATTTATTTGCTTTAAGTTACAGTGAATGTTATAAAGTGGAGCACTAGGTACATACCCCCAAAATACTCCTACCTATATAAATGATGATACCTCAAAAGCAATATATTAGTTGTCTGAATTTTGTATTAGAATAATTACTTTGTTTTTCTCTTAGCCTCTGTAATGTAAGTCAAAGGAATAGCAATTTCTAAACCAAGCTGTACTATGTGAATGTTACATTGTACTGTTTTTTTACAGTTTTTGTCTTTACTTGAAAAATTCAGGTGATACTGTATATATTCACACATCTAAGCATGCTGTTGCATTACCCTTGTTGCTTTGAACTTAGTTTTATACTTTGCCTGACTTTGGCTCCCGGATACTGGATTATCTTCATACTTCTGCTTGAATTAGAGGATTATCTACTGCTAGAAATCATTCTTTCTCTATCTGAGGATTTAGTTAAGGGAATTCACTGATTTTTGCTCTTGAACTGAATATGCTGAGCCTTTACAGTAGAAGAACTCAGTCTGTCTCTTATAATACAAAAATCATTTGAGGTATTTTTTTGTTTGCCTTTTTTTTTCCCCTTGAAATCCAGGTGACAGAAGTGGACACAGTACCTGCTCTATGAAGAGGTAGTATCAATTTACTTCTATTTCCCCTTTCAAGGAGTTAACTCGTCACCAGCATCTTGCAGAGTGCTTGTAGTCAGCTGGTGTTTCTTCCTCACTCTTCTTCTGATTTTTGTCCTATGTGTTATATTTGTGATGATGCAATTTTACTGTGTTTGTAGGTAAGCCTTATCACTGAGCTATTTAAAAAGTAGTCTTAAAAAAACCCCAACTTTCAACTAAGCATAATAAGCTGTGTATTTGCCTCTAATATTTATTAACGTATATAATTCGGTTCAGGATGTTCTATAAACATAACTTCCTCATCTCTAACTGTTGTGATTTGTAATTTGGTTAGTACTTTCAGTGTATCTGACTTCTGCGGTAGTAGCTCCACATAGCATTTGGAAGGAGGAGAAATAACATGGTTAATAAGATGCTTATGGAAGTTTTGGTACTAAATCTATTAACCAAATATGGTATTATTAAAGAAGGGATCAGTGCAATATATCTGCCAGAATCCTGTTTATTGCATGAATAAAATTATCAACACTTTCATTCCATGCATACTGGTATTTGCTAAGCCTTTGCATTATACTTGTCTAGGGTTAGACTGGTAGCACTTGAACTGGAAGACTGAAAAAAGAGTCTGTATAGAATCAATTCTGAAGAAACAATTGAGGGGAAGGATTTGGGAGCAAGGTAGGGGTGTAAATTGGTTCTGGTATAGGCATTATTGTTTTTTAATGGTAGCATCTTGAATATCTGCAGTGTCCCTCCAATGAGGACTAGCTTGAGAGGAAAAAATCTTGAATACTATTTCACAATTTTGAGGTTTTTCTCCTGTTTTGACATCTCTAAAACTTTTTTTTTTCCCCTCTTCTAGATCTGTCTCACAAAAATCTTTTCTTGAATCAAATGTCTCTTGTTCAGTTAGGTATCACAAATGTAAGTATGCTCTGGTGTTCAGGTGAAATGAGTTCTCTGCTGTCATCCAGTGCTATACTTAATGTGTGGGGAAAGAATAACATATCTAACAGAGCACAAGCTATGTTATAGATATCTTGTAGCCTGTAAAAGTTTGGGTAAAAGGAAACAGAATTCTTTCCTGATATTTGATTGCTTAGTGACAAAAATGAAGGCTCTGGGGTAGGAGAGTGGAAGTAGCATTTGAGTCCTTGTTCATATGCATTTTCTATATACTGTATCTCTCAATTAGCCTCCATCAGATACCACTAAGCTATATCAGTCTCAACTTGAAATAAATAGAAAAGGAGAACATAGGTTCCTACTTTGTTAAAAAAACAAACACACTCCCCTCAAAACAAACAAAACCAAATCATCAACCCCCACCCCCTAAAAAAAAACAAAACAACACCACAAAGTCAAACCCAAGAGCAACACCCCTCTTGTCCCTGCCCCAACCCAACAGTCCATGAGTGTCAGGGGGTCTAGGGATTCATGTCCAGCATCTTTTTCTACTGGGCTGAATTAATTCCCAGAGACTCAAGGTCAGGTACTAATACAGCTAGCACAGGGAAGAAGGATGCAATTGGTCTTTAGCTAAACATGACAATGATCAAAAGTTTCCAAAAAATATTCTGACCATCATTATTCTCTAGCTCAAGAATTTTTCTTACAATTGACAACAGATTGTTGGAAAGGGAGGAGTGAATTGTCTTTCACTCTGGAAGATGGGGATGATGAGTTAAAATTAACGTTCAAGATAATATTTGGTTTGTTGGCTGCTGAAAGTCTTACTCTCGCAACGCTTATTTCCCTTCAGACAGACGTGATCTGTAGTAGGAGGAGTGATATTACCTACAGAGCATGCCCAGGGAATGCTTTAATGCATTTAGTTTTTTGGAGGTGATGGTTTGAGCCAGACCTGTGGGTTTAAATTCCTGAACAGAAATCTTAGACGTAACATTTTGCTCCTGACAAACGTTGCTGCAAGAATTGTACTTCATAAATCTTTATTTTTTGGAGCAGCACCCATAAACCTCAAGGTTTGTGAGAAGGGAACTGAAATTACTTAAGCCTCTGATCATTCTTGGTGATAAGAATGGAACAGATTAGGCAAAAAATTTGTTATAAATCTTTTGAATTGTTTATAGGATAGAGCATTTGTATGTTCTATCACTAGTTAGCTAAAAATGATAAAAAAAATTTGTTTCTTAATTTAAGGAGCTCATCAACACCTACCATATTATTTTCCTATTCCATATGCTGGTTATTCATTAGTACCCCTTAGGCAATTTAGGCAACGTAGGTTAATTTTAATAAAAGAGGTAACTCCCTTTCTTTCTGTTTCCATAGGCACATGAAGAAATACAGCATTGTCAGATTAGAAAAGGGATTCCTGGAGTCTAGCACCAAGCTCTTAAATCAACTCATCAAATTCTGCCTTAAAACTGGATATGATACTGTCTTATGACCTTTATGTTGGAGACCTTTTGCTCTACTGTTCACTTAATTGATTGCCTTTTTTTTTAAGCATTGTGATTCAAGTAACTATTCTTCCACTGAGACTTTTTTCCCACAGTGTTGTTATGACTGAGTGGTACAAATACCACCCCACTCTTTATTTCATTGACAAAAAACTCTTAACTTAGTCTCATCTCTTAGATACAACCTTTGTTTCTTGTACTGTCTTAATGACCCTTTACTGTTACCATTGGAATCTGTTCTTTCAGTCAATGCAACCAGTATTCCAGGTAAAACCTCCTTAAGATCTTGAATAACATTAGGGCTTTCTTTTCTGTGGCAGAAATAATTGACGGGTGCATATGAAGACTAGCATTTTTTTTACGTCTTCTGCACACTCACAATTTAGTGACTAGGTGCAGTACTCCCATGTTCTCTCACAAATTTTGAATACGTTATTTTTTTCCATAAATTCTTACTGAATCTTAAGTGGGTAACCTTGTACTTTATGCTCCAAAGCTTCAGGCTTTCTTCTTTCTCTACTTCAATGTTGCAATGATTTAATATTTGATGTGATTATATTTTTTTATAAATTAAAATTCTTTGTGGTGACTCTTACATGATTTTTGATGCAAAACATCTAGCAGATTCTTTTATCACTTGTCAGATGCCCAAAGAAAATCTGACTGTTTCTTGGGAATGATGTGTTTCTTTTTAGTTAAACAAAAACAAAGCTTGCTTTTACTTTGAGCTCTGATTAGTTGAAATTCTCATTACAAGAAGACTTAGCACGTTTTTTCCTCTTAACTTTGACAAGCCACTGTGCAGTGTTAGAACCTGCCCAAACTTGTCAGAAGCCTAAATGCTCATAAGGCCTTATTGAGTTGGGTGCTAATGGATGAGTAGTAAAGAAACCAACTCTTCAGTTGAAAATATGTGTGGCTTGGCATTCTGAATGAACTCATAAACACTGTTGAATATTAGACGCTTCATATAAAAATAGATTTCTGACTTGGAGACTGAAATTCAGGAGTTAAAATCCTCTCTGATTCCCCTTCTGCACTCTAAAACTCATTCTGAAAACAGTTCTGCAAGGGTGGTTGTGTCTTAATTCCCCCCAATCCCTGGCAAATCGAATGTGGAAACTGTGCCCGCATTTCAGCTGCTTCCTTTCAGTCCTGAATCACAGTGAAAAACCTGTTTCTGTAAGCTGTTTAAACATTGTGTCATGACTAGAACCAGCTGAAGCAGTAGAAGGATAATAACTTCTGGGAAGCAATAGTATCCTAGATAAACACAGTAACACTTGCTAAAAGTTATCATTTGGAGCAGCAAGGTTACTGCAGAATTAGTCAGCAGTTGTGCAGTGGTCTTCCACTTCAGCAAAAATGTTAATTATCATCCTAAAGGACTTCTGTTGCTGAAATGGAGAACTCCTGTCTCATTCCCCAAGTACTGAATTGGGTGTAATGCGTTATTTGGGGCCCGAAGAACATGTTTCTAGAAGTGCTCCATCCTGCTGGGACATGGTAGCTCAGTGCCTAGAGTATATGTAGACCATCACGATACAAAATGAAGTTTTCCTCTGGTATGAATCCATCACATTTCCCTGGTGTACATTTCAATTGATCAGATGCTGCACAGATTGTGGCAATGGCAACATCTTTGGCTCTTAAATGGGAATTTCAGTTGTGCTGGCAACATTCTTCCATCTTTCAAAAAATTTTATACACAAGAAGAACTCTCATGAAATACTGGAATTTCCGATTCACTTTTCCTTTATCCTTTTCCCATTGTCTACTCTGTGGTGTGCAAGAACTATTATTGGGATGCCTTGCTGTTGGAAGCATTTCTGACAAGATACTGTTCCAAGACTCTGTATCGCAAATAGGCATAGTGTGAAGGAGCACAGTGGGTCCTGTTCTCTGCTTGAAACAGAAATGCTTAGTGGTGCACTGTTTAT